ACAAAAAGCTAAAGTTGATGTTATGTGAAAAAGAAAAGAAGGATTTGATTAGAGCTCTGCGATATTGTTTAAAAAGAAAATATGAGTTATATCATTTTTAAATATAAGTTTATTATGTTATTTTTTTATTTATTATTAATCACATTTTAAAAACAAAAATGTAATTTTAAATGATTATCAATCACGTTTTTATGTAAAAAAAGTATGGTCTTTGTTATTTTCCAAAAACTACATTTCTTATGTTAGAAATGTAATTAATCATATCAAAGCCTACGTTTCTAACATAAAAAACATAATTCAAACACTTAATTAAATGTAACTTTATTTTGTTATTTTTATTTATTATCAATTATGTTTTGAAACCAATAAGCATGGTCTTTGATAGATTATTAATCACGTTTTCTAACTAATAAACATGATTTTTGTTAGCAAATACTACATTTTTAAGTATCATAAATATTTTTTAATATTATATCAATTATTACATTTTTCATATAAAAAATGTCATTAATATGAAAAATATCTATTTTTTATTATTATTTTAATTGATATACTACATTTCGTTTATAAAAAATATAGTGCTTTTTAAAATTAAAAAAATTCAAAAACATAATATTTCAGTTATCTATTATGTTTGTTATTTTAAAAATGTTATTTTTATTATAGGTAATAAATTACGTGTTTGATTGTGTGTCAATTGTCCAATCGTGTGATTAAGATTGTACTTTTATCTAATCATATGGCTACGAGTATTCATTTTTATATCGGAATAAATCTTTATTTATCATGTAATTATGCTTAATTTTTAAAGATAAAGTAAACCAAAAAAATTTATTTTTGAGATCAAATGTGGTGCAAAATTAATTTTTTTTCTTAAAATCTTAAAAAATTATAAAAGAGATAAATTTTTTATTTCAAAATATTTAGATATTATTAAAATCTTAAAAACCTTCAAAAATTAAATAACATAAACCAAACATAAAAATTAAATTATAAAAAAATAAAAATCTAAAAAATAATTTAACTTTTTTTCAAACCAAATACCCCTCTAATGGTAAGATTAGCGATTCACTTACATTTGACCTCGGCAATATGATTATTAATGGAGCAAACGCCGCAAAGTTGCCTTTTCATCATTTCACTTTTACAAACCTTTTTCGTTAACTTATTTTTAAAAACTCTATGTGCAATAACCTCTGCGGGGGGAAACTTCTCAAATAAATATTTCCTGTAGTTTACAAATTACGTCTACATTCAGAAGACTAGGTACGTCATTTGAATTTCGATCCAAATACTATTGGCTTGGGTGTTTGTTTTATAAGGTAGCATGCACTTGATTTGTAAAGATTTACAAATCCCAAATTAATAATTTTAGTCTTTCAGAACAAGTTTTTAGCAATGAAAAAATTTATTAAAAATAATCACATATTTGTTTAAAAATGTAATTTTTGACAGAATTTTCTGATGAAAATTCATAAAGTAAAAAAAAAAAAAAAATTGAAGCTGCTAAAAGTATTATATTGAAAATGAAAATTTGTCGAAACTTCCCTCAATTATATAATGTAATTGGTTGATTTTTTTAATTTATTTATTGTTTGGATAAAAAAAATATAAAAGGATGAGGAAAAGGTTAAGCCTTGAGTTGTGTAAGCGTGGACTAGGTAAAAACATGTCTTATAGTCTTCGTCTCTTGGTTTAGTAGTCAACAGGCTTTAAAAGAGCATTAAAATCCTTGTTTCGAGTCAAAATCTCTCCCTTCCCCCTATGGGCTATGTGCTTCTGTAGAAAAAAAAAAAAAAAAACCGTGTCTTATGCATACCTATATATGTCGAGTCCACTCATGATATTTATATCTTGATGTTCCATGAGGGGAAAAGTATATACTATCAATCAAGAAAATTAATAGAAACATCATGAAATGTTGTATATAATTTTTTTAAAAAAATTTAAGCTAACTAATTAATAGGGTTAATAATGTATAACTATAAGCTTCGTCTTTATATATTTCCTTCGCTTTAATGTATTTAATATTAAATTTAAATTTTTTTATAATTTTAAATTTTCAAGATTTTTAATATAAAAAATAAAAAAAATTAAAATATAAAAAGAAGTTTTACATGTTAAAAAATAAAATATAATTTTAAGACATCTCAAAATGAAAAAAATAATAAAAAATGTAATAGAAGGAATATAATATTTAATTCCACCAATAGATTTGTATAATGCATGGTTAATTCTTTTTAGATTTATTTTGGCTATCTAAATTTATCATCTCTGTTCTTCTTCTTTATTATTATTATTATTATTATTATTATTATGCCTCACTTTAAAAGGGTTGACTTTTTAAAATATATATTTGTGTAAAATCTTAAATTAAAAAATATGAAAAATAACAATAATATTTATTAAAAATTAAAAATTTAGTTTAGTATACACATTATTTATTTTTATTATGATTATCAAATAAAAATATTTTTCAAAAATAATGTTTATTATTTAGTTTTATTAAGATTATTAAATAAAAATTGAGAAAAAAACTACCACATGGCAAAAAATAGCTCGCCACACCTGTTAATATGCCCCTTTGGGTTTTTTGCTGTGGTTTTTTTTATAGATTCTTTTGGATTGATTTTGCCGAATTGTTTTATTTTTTGTTGATTTGTTTTAAGAAAATTTTAAATTATTATTAATTCACTTATTCTTTAGTTTATTATTATGATTATTAAAAAAATTAAAAAAATTAAAATAAGAATGCTTACTATTTATTTTTACTAGGATTTTTATTATGATTATTAAATAAAATATTTTTAAAAAAAATTACCACATAACAAAAAAATATTTGCCACGTGTCAATTGATAAATCCCAAAAAGACTTACTTTTTGCTCTTCACGTACCGATTGATAAGCATCAAGTATAAATATAAATTTTGGATAAATATTGGCTTCATTAATTAATATTATAGATTTTGGATAAAAATATTCTTCATTAATTAATATTACAGATTTTGAATAAATGGACGCTTCATTAATATTCATCCTATAATATATGACAAATTAAAATATGATGACATAATATAAAAATAATATAAAAATTATAAAAGTAATAAAATTTAAAATTTTAATAAAAGTTATATATAAATTTAAGCAAATAAAAAATATATTATATTTTTATGTATTTACGAATTGTAATATATAATTTTATATAAAATATAACATAAATATATAAATTATTAATATTTTATATAACACAACTATATGAATCATTAAATCATGATATAGGATACCAAACACGTTAGTCATAACTAAGGGGATCACAATGCTGCCATGTGATAACTTAGCTGCCATCACCACATTTTTTTTTATCTGCGTGTAAAATGCTTGTAAGTGTAATCTATAAGTTTATTTTCTGAATAAGAGGAAAAGCATAACAGTAAAATATTCTAAAATACTGATAAATATTAAAAAAAACTTTTCAAAACATTTTTTTTTCTAAATTTGTCATGTAAAAACACCATATTTCATGTCACTTGTGTGAGTATATATCTAAACTCATGGGCAGTGGGTAATAGAGTCAGTGGGAACCTTTGCTCCTCTACAATTTTTAAAAAACCCTTATTTTCTTAGTAAATATATATATATATACTTATATTAAATACATTTAAATTGACTTCTAAATTAAAATGATGAATTCTTTGTGATTTTATTATTAATTTATGCATTATGATTTAAAAGATTTTCAAATCATATTGGTATTTATTTGTTTATTATACTCAAATATTATTACTTGCAAATTTTTAAAATTAAGGGTTTGCCATAAGTTTTAAATCACAATAATGTAAACTTAATATAAGTTAAATTAAAATTTTAATTTTCTCAATAAGATTCTAAATTTTCAACAAGTATGAAATGTGTTTTTCTTTTTCTTTTTTTTTTTTTTTTTTGTACAATAGAGACCAAACCTAAAAGATTTAGAGAATGGGAAACTGCAACTTTTAAGAATTAAACTCTAACTTTCTTTTAAGCTTACTTCAACTTTTCCTCTCCTTATTATTTTCCACTTTTATTTTTACTTTAAATCTATATCTCATTTTTTTTTTTCTAATAAAAAAATTTTATTGGAATTACTTTACAAAAGGATAAAAAAAAAAAAACACTATAACTTTTAATCTCAAACCTTCATCATCATTATTTTACAAGCATATTTAGTTTACTTGTTTTGATAAAATATTTAATGATTGATTTATTCATATTTCTTTTTCATTTCAATTTTAAATTACGAAAAAATTAAAAAAAAAGTTCTCATAATTCATTGATAAATTGCATAATTAGTAATTCTACCGTAATTGTAAATTCTTTATTGTTAAAAATATAATATTGTCATTATAATTTTTTTTTATAATTTTATCAACTCGTCATATTTTGTTAATATATTTTTTACATTAATAAATATGATAGAATATTTTTTTTACAAAAATAAAATAAATTTTATTATCTATCATTAATTGACCCCTCCAAAATTAAATGTGAATATCAACCACCGTTTATAATTGTCATGGAATGAAAGTACACCATATCTCAAGTAACTTACTAACTTTTGTGAGTCAATCCGAGGCCTTTTTGTTTGCAATTGCATGTGGCTAATTATCCTTTTCGTCATAGATATTAAAGTAATTAAAGAGGGAAATTTTAAAAAAAATTATTTTCTTGGTTACCTAATTAAGATATGATAACAAGATATGTTACTTAAATGAATATGTTATTTTTAAATTTTGAATGATCTAAATAATAATATTTATTTTTATTGATGATTAAACTAAAAATATTTGTAAAAAATTAAATAATGGAATGCGTCAATATCTACCAAAATAAAAAAGAAATAACTGATTTTTAATCTTTTCAAATTAATTTTATCATATCAATATGGCATATTGTTTGTATTGTGCATTAAGGAAGCTGGCAACAGCAATCGTAGAATTGGTGAAAGCGTGGACAAGGTGAAAACGTGTAAGATCAAACGACTCAGCCACGATATACAAGTCATCTCTCCCAAATCCAACCTGAATTATTCCTGCAAAAAAAAAAAAAGTCTTCTTTATGAATAGAATAATAAGTCATTATTATTTAGTTATAGGACCCAAGAAGAGAACCAACCATTTGGGGTTTTCAAACTCCTCCATGCCCACTTCTCCCTTCTCTCTCTTCCATGGCCGAACCCCTAAAGAAAACCCATCAAACCAACCCCAGAAGCAGTTGCTTTCTCGGTTGTTTTGGGTTTTCTAAGAAGAAAAAACCCCTGGAAAAAACCATTCAAACCAGTGTCAGCCGTACTAAAACGGTGCCCGTAGTTAACACCGAGAAGGCAGAGTCTGATAGCAAAAGCCATATGTCAAAGATGATCAAGAAGAAATCTGATAGCAAGCTTTCCTCTGAACCTCAGAGCCCTGCCAATCATAAACATTCACATCAAAATTCCAAAGCTAATCAGCAACTTGCATCCTCCAATCAAGCTGCAAGAGAGAGGCCTAATGAGGTTAGTGTAAATGTGTTGAAATTCTAAGCTTATTCTAGTTAAATTAATTAGCTTTATTACATTATTACGTAGTTGAAAAGGTAATCTATGTCGTCACTTTGAACATTTTGTTTTACATAATTTCTACTTTTGGATTTCACTGTTTCAGACAAAGCTGCAGGGACCTGAACCGAATATCTTCCTCGGGAATAAGAAACTTTTGGACCCAACGAGAACAGGGTCAAGCCTACCGGGTTCACCGAACGTCAAGCCCAAAACCAAACCCAAAACACAAGCGGAGTTGTCCCACACGGTTTCGTTGCCGCTCCCAGGAAGGAACCAGCGAGTGGGGAATCCCCGGATTCATGCTCGGATCAACTTAAAGGATGAGCTTCAACAGAAAAACAATGACCCCGTGATGGGTATGTATATTATCATGGTGACCTTGATAATAATGTTAGTTTGGGGTCGATTATGTGCCATTCTTTGTACGTCGGCATGGTTTTATTTTTGCCCTCGTTTTCCAACCACAATTAACAACAGTGACATTACTGTTCAAAGACCCGTCAACTCGAATGATTTAGATTTGAATTCGGAGGGGTACAAAAAGAGGGTGGTGTTGGAGGGGTTGCTCGACAGGAACCACCGGGTTACCCTATGAAACTTTTGTACATAATATTTTTCCTTTGGTTCTGATGCGCACTTTAGATGTAACTATATATGTTTTACTAAAGTGTGCCTGATGGGCATTTTGTTTGAAAATTTAGCAGTAAACCATTGTTAAAATGTGTTGGAGTCAATGTCTTCTAGAATCAAAGTTCAGTTTTTCCAATTTGGTGCTCTTTGTTTAATTGGCAGTAAGCACGTTTCGAAGACTTGGTAAATAACTAGGGTGATGTGGACTTGGGTTTGTGTAGCTCAAACATGGTTGTCAGCTTTAGTTGTCTGTTTCTCCATCACCCAACATCCACCAGAGAATTTAAGAGAAAAACTAAATCTATATCAAATATATTATTTATTTGTTTATTAATTCTTTTTAGATTAACCTGTTTTCCTGTTGATTACAAAACTGAAATGCGAAGCATTAATGGTGTTTTGCTTTGCTTTTCTTTTTTTTTTTTTAAATATTCTACAGGACTCCAACCAAATTTAGTTGACATTTTCTTCTCAGTTTCCTTTTTTTTTTCCACCTCTTCATCAGGCGATAGAACAGCTGAGAAGAGTGAAGAGGCTTCTGCCTTTTTGACTAATGGTTTTGTTGGTTGTTTCTGCATAACCAAGCTGGCTATTAATTATGGTGTGTTTGGTTTTCTTTTCTCCCTTGTGTGTGGCATGGGCTTAATGGAGAGAAAGGAAAACAAAATGTTTTCTTCAAACAAATAAATACTAGTATATTATTATTACTACTCTCATTTAAGAATTGTAATTTTCTTCATGCTAATCCTAGTGACCAGTGAGGAAAAAAATTGTGGTAGTTAGCTATATTAACTAAAACATGCATGACTACTGGCCTCATTGTCAAACTAAATTGAAAGCCTGCTAATTTACATTTCGGCGAAGGATTAAGTTACATATACCTAAAATTAACGGATTTATATTATTTTATAATTTATTGTAAGAATAATATTTTAAAAATTTTTTTCTAATTAATTTTAAATGATGGCACATGATGGTTTAATAACTCTTCAAGTAACATGTTAGTTAATAAATTTAAATTTTAAGTATTATATTAAAGATTTTTAAAGTTCAAATATTATATTAAATATTTTATTATAGTTTAAAAGCTATTTGTAACATTAACTAAGATTTTAATATTTTCAAAAAATAAGTATGAATTTTTAATCAATTTAAAATTTAGAATATATTATTTACATGAATAGAATATGAAATTCAACGACTGGATTAACAAAATATATACCGTTCAATTTCATATCCTATTTATGTGGATAATATATATTAAATTTAAATTAATTAAAAATATTTTTTTATAATATAAAATTTTCAATTGTTAAATACATATCAAAGAATATGGTTATTCTTAATCAATGTTATATAAATATCAAATTGAATTGAAAATTTACGTGAACCATAAACATAAAGATTTTGCTAAATGTAGCAGTCCATTTTCTTAAAATACTAGTATTTCTGAGGACTAAACTAAGATGATGTTGATAGTGAGAAAAAGAAAAACCACCAACATTTCATTTATGGATATATATGATCTTTAATATTTGAAAGACGAAAATGCATGCTTATCTTTTTTTTAATATGCAATTTAAAAAGAAAATCATGTAATATATTACGAGGATAGAAAAAGAAATTGTAAATATTAAAAATTTAATTTTATACTTGTTAAATATTATTTTTTAAGATTGATTATATGAATTAATCGAATTAATTTTAATCACATCATGATTTGCCCTATTTAATTTTTTTGTTTTTATGAAAGTTACAACTTACATTATAAATTGAATTTTTCTAAAGAAATATATATAAATTAAATTTATACAATTAAGTATTATATTTCGTATGAAAATTATTTTGATTTATTTTTTAAAATGGAAAAAGTTAAAGATCATGATAATAACTAGTCTTCCCAATACAAAAATTACTTTACAAATTTTTTTAAAAAATTAATTATCTAATTTACCTTGCATTATTTCCTAACATGTCATATAAATTCCATTTAGTTTGTATAATCATATAAATAAATTATAAGCAATTAATATTGATTTCTCAAAAATAAATAAAGGAAATAAATTTAATTCGGTAATTAATTTTTTAAATATATAAAATTAAATTAAAATATAGAAAATCTTTGCACTATTTGACTCAGAAGCTCTCATTTTCTCTCTTCCAGTCTTTTCAATTTTGATTTATTTTTATGAGCAAAAATGAAAAATATAATCATCTCTTATATTTTCTTTCTCTAACTTTTTCTTCTAACAAATAAAAATGAAAATTATTTTCTTTTGACTTTTCTACTCACCCTCTTTTATCCTCCCACTTAATTTTCATCCTATCAAACAAAACGTATTGATAGAAAATAAAGTCTACATTTAGCATGGCTAACCAAAAGTCCTATATTATTTTAGACCAAAACTTCAAATGACACATCAAGAAAAAACTTGCTACAGGTTGATTACTCAACGCATTATGAAGAGGTTAAATTTTATTGAATAGATTTAGAAAATTATTGGAATAATTTATTTTGTTTAAAATAATTATATCCTTCTACATGTGTTAGTATGTGTTCATTTTTTTTAATTTTTAAAAATATAAGTTGATAAATTTAATATTTGATTTTTTTTATAAATTATTCTAAAGTATAAATCTTTCAAGAAAATATTTAAGTAAAGAGAAGAATAAATAAAAAAAAAAAGAGAAAAAAAGAATTTAAAAGATTTCATGAAAAATTTTTATTCTGTCTTTTAACATCGAAGAGTGTTAGACATGGAAAAAACTGCTTAAGCTTAGGCAGTTAGCTTCCTCCCTGATTAATTTCACTTCCAGTGTAGCAAATCCCTTTCTGGAGCCAAGGTATGTAATAAAATCTGGTATGTATAACGCTGCAAAAATTTGTAATGGCATTCGAGATAAACAAACCGCAAGGGGACTGGGATAAGTTGATCTGCTTTTAGCATAACATCCCCAAGCAAGGACTGATAGCTTGGATGGCTATCCCAAAAATGCTGCCCACTCTTCTCAGACTTTCTTCTTGGAATTTTCCTCTTGCAAACTGCTTGTGTTTCCTTTGTAAATAAACTAACGAGGATAGAGATTATTTATATTTCTCTTGCTTTTATAGTAAGCTAGTATAAAGTGTTGCATTGTTTTGGTTTTCAAAGGGATGTGGATGAATTGTCATATGAATTTGGTTGGATAAAGTCATTGAAGGGAAAATCTCTACCGGTGGTAATTCTTAAAATAGCTTGGATGCATGCAACTATTTCATTTGGATGGAAAGGAACAATAGTAAGTTTGGAGGGAAAGTTTGTGAAGCTAAGGAAATTTTCATTTGTATAGTTGATTTTATAAGGTTTAGATTATAAGATTTTTCACGGGCAACAAAGGACAAACAGTTTCTTCTTTGAGACTTCTTGATTCTTTGTAAATTTTAGTTACAAGTTATATTCTTCTATTTGTATAGTTTTGCTTAAGAATAACAAAATAATTCATATTAAATGAGTTTCGATTTATTCTGATCCAATAAAATTAGATTTTTTTTAAAATTTGATGTTGAGTTAAATTGAAGTTTTTTTTTTTTTAAAGTCAAGTTCAAGTTGGAGTTAGGTTTTAGGCTACATTGCTTCAATCAAACCCAGATATATATAAAAAATGTATTTATTATTTATTTAATTTTATATTTATTTATTATATTAATAAAATTATTATTTAATATTTTAATTTAAAATATTAACTTAATAAAAATATTATATTTATGTATCAAATGTAATTTATATTTAAAAAATAATATTTTATAAATATTATATTAAAATAAAATTATTAAATTAATTTTTGATCAAATTAATTACGATTTATAAATACATAAGTCGAATTGGATAAAAAAAATATTTTGGATCAAGTTAGAGTTGAATTTAAATATTAAGAGGTCGAGACGATAAAAATCTACCTATTCAATCCGTTTCCACCCCTAATTTTGTTAGTGTTGTACAATCTTTTTTATGGCAAGTTCTGTCCCTGCTTTCTTAGATAAATAAAATGTCATTTATCCAAAGAAAAAAACATTGAATTAAAAACCCAAAAGCCCAAAACCAGCGCAACCAAAAGCCCAAAACCCAATCCTTAAGGAAGCCACCAAAAACCCTAGAGTCAGGAATCAATATATTTGTTAGATTGTCGGATCGACTGCCTACTAGTTTACCATCTTCACCGAACAGAGTTCAGGTTCACTCCCTTCAGCAGCAGCCATGGTAGTTCTTTCTCTCCCTAACTCTGCCTCTTATTTATTTAGTTCCTTTATCTTTTGAGCATCTCTTTTGGGTCTGCTATTTTTCCCGTACAAAATGTTTCTATTTTAGGTCTGCTATTTGGTTTATGATCATGATTATATATTAGCATTTGGGTGGGGAGAAGTGGGATTGTAGAGTTTAGGATTTCTCTTTCTTTTTTCCTTCTTTTTTTGTTTTAGAAATTTATGGTGAAATTATTTTCGTCTATCTGCCTTTCATGTAATTTTTCCCACTTTTTGGGTTAGGTTACTTAAGTTTTTATTTTTTATATGTTTCTTGATACTTGTATTGCTGAAATCAGTGTTAAAGATGAAGATTTTGTACTATTTTGGTGAATCAATGATAACTTTAGGATGTGTTAAATCTGAAATTTGGCCATGATTTGATGGCTTTAGTCTTGGGTCTCTCTCAGAAATCCTAGTATAAAATAAGTTGATGAGATTGCAAAGTAAGGGTAAATTTTGTTGGTGGCAGTGCTGTTTGTTTTTTGCTGTGGATGAAGTGTAATCTAGGTCTTCATTGAGGAAATTGTTGCTAAATTTATTACTTTTGAATTTGTTTTGAGAGTAATTGCGACTTTGTATTGCAGGTGAACGTACCTAAGACTAAGAAGACTTACTGCAAGAGCAAGGAGTGCAGGAAGCACACTTTGCACAAGGTTACACAATATAAGAAGGGTAAAGATAGTTTGGCTGCGCAGGGGAAACGCCGCTATGATCGCAAACAATCGGGTTATGGTGGTCAGACCAAACCAGTGTTCCACAAGAAGGTAATTTTTATGACACTTATCTTTTATTCTTGGATGGATATTAGTTATATAATGAAAAGATTAAGAATTCTATGCTGCATATTTAGGTAATAGTTTTGTAAGGGATATTTAGTTATTCGTTTTATCATTTTGATTGCTGCTATTTCTTGAGACTGCAAGCCTTTGAATATATATTGACTGTGTATCCTCTGAACAGGCAAAGACCACCAAGAAGATTGTTCTAAGGCTGCAATGCCAAGGTTGCAAGCATGTATCGCAGCATCCAATCAAGGTTGGTGCACTGAAAATCCCATGCTATTTTATTTTTGTTTTCTTTTACCATGCTGTTTCATGAGCTAATATTTGGTTCTTTTTTTTTTTACCGGTTTTTGCAGAGGTGCAAGCACTTTGAGATTGGTGGAGACAAAAAGGGGAAGGGAACATCTCTATTCTAAATGTGTTATTCATGTCATATGCTATGTTGGTTTACTGCAGTAGTTGGAACTTAAGGCAGTACGGAATTTTAAAAAAAAGTTTGCTTTTAATTTTCTGATATTGTTTTTCAGAGGATATGGTGTTATTGAAGTACTTAATGACATATATTGTTCTCACAGTTATCGATTGTTTCATTAGTATTTTTTTTAATTTAATTGTCTTTAGCAGCTTCCACAATGTGTTTTGGGTAAGAGGAAATCAGCACAAGGTAAGCATAACCCTTGTTCCACATTTAGTTTTTTCCAAAGTTAAAGATGAAAAGAGAGGTAATGAAAATTGATTCAACTTTAATCACATAGGAGAAGTAGCATTATTCTCTCGTTTCACGTCTCCATGGATCATAGTTATTGATTCAATATCACTGAGATAATACCAGAAGGAAAAGATATTACCATCTTATCAATAACATAATGTGAAATTCACATTTAATTGATTTTCAAGAGAAGAAACTCCTCGAGTCTTAAACCCATCAGATCCCCATTGGTCTATTCCCGTTTTCCAAAGCGCTAGCAAGATCTCGTTGCGAAGGCAACCATGAGGACCTTAATTTCAAGTACCAAGCGGCTCATTTATTACACCACCACCGCCTGGACCTCCCTATACCGTTCCAAACCCCGAAACTACAGCCTGATACCGATGGTGATCGAGCATTCCCCCTGCGGAGAGAGTACTTACGACATAATCTCTCGTCTCCTTACGAAAAGGATCGTCTGCATAAACGGACCCATCAACGACCACACTGCCCACGTCGTCATGGCCCCACTCCTCTTCCTCGAATCCAAAACCCCCTCCAAACCTCAACTCTCCCGGCGGCCAAGTCGTTGCAGGTCCTTCCCTTTTTACCTTTTTCAATTTCCAAAATACCTAATTCTATCATAATTCTTTGATATTATTTTTGTACTGGCGTTGCTATTTATAATACGATGCAGTACATTAAGTCTTCAATCAAAACAATGTGAAACAATTTGCTTTGGGTGTGATGTTATTGTCAGTTGCAAGAATGATAAAGTTTGGTTGAAAAGTAAAAGCGATTGGAAGTGAGCTTTAAGAGGGTTACGTAAAATATAATAAGATGGTTTACAATAAGATAAGAAAGTTGTTCATTAATTATGCTATATAATTTAAGGATAAAGAAATTATCAATTAATTATGTATAATTTTGCATGCAAATAATTTACGAAATTAGTTATAAATATGTAAAACAGTTATTTCTAAATTATGAGTGAAAATTATCATTGACTTATCCCTCAACTTTTCTTTCTTTTCTAGTCTCTTACTTTCAACTTCTCTTTTATTTTTGTCACATACTTTGTTATTTTTTGCTTTAATTTCTTTTTTTTTTCCATTACTATCTATATCAAAGCCACATAAATCCAAACATTCTAGGAAAACATAAAAAACAACCGAGAAGGTACTTGATATAACATTTATATTACTATGAATGCATATGACCCCAAATCTAAGATTGAATTGTCCAATTTTGATGGATATAACCCAAAAGGGTGGATCAAGAAATGTCAAAAGTATTTTGTTAGTTTTTTCATTTCAAACCATAAAAAATTAGAAATGATAATAATGTATTTGCCAAGGAAAGCAAAAACCTGGTTTGATAGTTACATCATATAAAAGAATACTTTGATTTGGTTAGAGTTTGTCCGAGTTTGTTTATGATTTATGCAATAAATTTTGTAATAGGACTTAGTTGGATGTGATAGAAGATTTTAATAAACTAGTTCAGAAAAATTAGTGGAAGACTACCAAGAGAGGTTTGAAGAATTGAAGTCATACATTTAAACCTCATCTAAATGAAGAATACTTCATTGGCTTAAGGAAGACCTAAAACCCAACTCAAATCTAATGTACTTACTAGTTTAAAGGATACCTACAGACAAGCTAAGGTACATGAACTTTCTAATTTGGGTCTTGAACATGCTACATTTTGGGTCCTGAAGATGCAACATGTGAGGATTATATGGTTCCCTTCTTTTGATCCTTAGAGACAAGAATCATCTAGTTGTAGGAATAATGAAGTTGGGTTAAAAGATAAAAAAACCTGGACTATGAAAGAAGTTGGTAGCAGAATGTTAAGTGAAATTAAAGCAGTGACAGATCTACAATTTTAAGTTAAGAAATGTCAAATTAAACAACTGGAATTTGAAAATTTCTTTTAGCATATAATATGTTATTATTTTATCAAACGTTATAAAAATTTTGAGTAAATATAACATTTCATAATATAACCATAAATAAGATACATAAAAATTCAAGTATTAAAATAAAAAAATATAACTATTTAACAAATACATTTATTTTTTAATTTTTTAATGAGAATTAAATTATAATATTAATATTTTTTACAAATTAATTAAAATTTGAGAATTGAAAAAATTTTTATCTTAAAATTTTTTTTTTGAAAATTATAAATATAAATTACAATTATAATTAATTATTACATATCTGAATAACCAAACAAATAAATTAATCAATAAATTAAAATATAACTAAATAAATTCAACATAAAATTGAAACAAATCCATGAAACTTTAACTTAAAATCTAAGTTCTAAACATTTGTAATTACAAAAAATAACTTTTTATATTTTTAAGAGAGCTATTTTTTTATTTTTAAAGGAATACTTATAAATTAATACATTATATATTAAAGGACTTGAAAAATATTTGGCGGGGTCATGATCCCCTTTGATTTCAATGTAGTTTCGTTACTGAGCTTAAGTGAGATGTCATGTGAAATTATAACAATCTTGCTAAGTAATTTAGTGATAAAAAAGTTGTAATCCTTGTTAAGGATAAAAGAAGTTATCGATTAATTATGTAGTGCGATAGTAATTTATAAAATGAGTTATAAATATATAAAATGATATCATGAATGAAAATTATCATTAAATTCTGTAACTTTTCTTTTGTTGATCTCGTACTCTTAACTTCTCTTTCTGATCTCACACTTTGCTCTTTTCTAGCCTAATATCTTCACTTTCCATCACCATTCATTTTATCATATGGCGTGAGCTGCATCCTTGGCTTCTCTCTTTTTGCCAGCGGGCGTCAAGGGTGAAAGGCGGTCCCTCCCGCATGATTCATCAGCCTTCTGGCGGATACAGTATAACCATTCACACTAAGCAGATTGTTCGCGTTCGGAACTCCTTGACTGCTTTCTATTGGAAGCACCCGGAGCAATCAGTTGATGTGATTCAGAGAAGAATATGGATAGGGATTATTTTATGACCCCTTAAGAAGCTAAAAAGTTTGGGTTAATTGATGAAGTTATTGATCAAAGGCCTAAGGTTCTGGTCACTGATGCTGTTGCTAATGAAACCAAAGACAGCAAAGAGAGCAAAGATAAGGGTTCCAATTACGATTAGAGGTGTTAAGCTCTTTGATGATTATAATTGCTGCTGTCCTCCAATTACATGGAATTAATTTCTTTGATGATTAATTGATGCTTCTGGAATTAATTTCTGTGATTTAAGAAGCTTCCTGGCTAAAATCAGTACTTCTATGAAACCATAGGCATAAAGTTTTGCCGCAAAATTTTTTTATTTGAGAATCTTTTAGGTATGTGCGCTTAAGTGGAAAATTATACATGAATGAGTGTTTAGAAATTAGATGGATGGGCTTAATGCTTAAAACAAAAAAAATAAAAATAAAAAATTGATTTGAATGGCCCTGAGAGTAGTCGGAAGAGTTGGAATATTTTGACATATAAATCCATTTGTTTAATTTTATTTAACGCATTAGGTCGACGATTGTTTGCAAAGTAAATACAATCAGTCTGAAAACATTCAAAGAAACAGGACCAGCAATCACACATACCTTTCAATGAAAAAATGGTTAAAAGTGAAGTGAAACAATAATATATTACACAAATTACATATATATTGACAAATTTTAAATAAACTAAGGGAAACTACAATATTATTGGACTTTTTTTTTCCTTAAATTCTTTTTCTATCTATATACTCCTCAAAGAGCCAGGAATTGGGGTACTCACAAGTTGTGGTCCAAATCTGATATGTAAATTGGGAATATGATGCAGTCAAAGGGGAGCTAATCAAGCGCCGCTTTGTTTTTACGACCGGACATTGGTTTTGGCAATCCATCAAAAATAGGTCTTGTAATGCCTACAGTGGAAAGTGTTTGTAAATCAGGCTTCAAACTCCATTTGGTCGCTGGCCAGAGGGATGACAAATTACTACTGTCCTGATCTTGCAAACTCGATGTGCTCGATGACTTCCTCACTACAGAAAATCCATCAACCATGCAGTCATCTCCAAGAACTGATGGTGTGGGATTGAACCCAGAGACCTCGGCATCGGCTCCTGAATTAGTGCGGCTTGCTGCTTTGGATCTTAGCGCCAAGCCTTTCGCTGTTATTGTTGAAAATCCTCCCCCGCTGGCGTTATCCTCCTTCAACAGTCTTTCAGGGGTATGAGCAGTAAAGTCGGCCTCAGATTTCTGCCGTCTTCTAATCAGTTTCTCATTTGACTTATCAGGTTCACCTTCTCTAGCTTCTCCAGCAGACATTATCTCAGCTACAACTTCACCATTCTCATCTAAAAATCCATTAGCTACGCTTCTACACTTCTGATGAAGCTTCAAAGATGGGTTGGAAGCAGAGGAGGGTTTAAGGAATGTACCATCCTCCAGATAGTGAGCTTCTCCTTTCCTGTATACTGACATCTCAAAACCTTCAGATATCTTCTTTCCTTCTGTTGGTTTAAGGCCATAGTAACCTTGTAACGAGCTCATGGCTGGGGAGACCCTTCGAGGAGGAGTCTTCAGTCTCAAAGACTGGAATGAGTCAAGCAAATCAGGAGGAAAATGTTGGGCTGGGGTTTGGTTGGCACTGCTTTGTCTGCAAAGAATTGTCACACATAGTGAGCTCAATTTAAACAACCAATCAGAATCAAGAGCCACAGAGATCAGAGATCTATCTTGCAGAATTTTAAAGGTGAGAGAAATTAGTAAGAACTTCACACATTCTTAAGCAACTCACTGAAACATTGATTATCAATTTCTTAAGAACTGACTCCTTAGATAGCACTTCTTAGTGTGCCCTAGAGTGTCAAATCTAAAGGATAATTACCATTGGAAACAATGTCCACCCAGAATATAGAATTTTTACATCTAGCAACAAATGAAGAGTCCAAGCATGCATTTTTCAGAAGAATGCAGAATTGCAGTTCCATTAAGAGGTGGCTATACATGAAAACCCTCTGCTACAATAACCAGCAAAACACATTAATTTTGCACCAGGGAAACCAGCTAACACTACAGACCAGAAATCAACTACAGGATAACAGCTAATACATTAATGTTTCCTCACATAAAATAGCAAGTCTAAGGCTACTGGATATCTCCTCTCTAGAACTATACACATCATAAAGGAAAATTAAAAAGTACTGCTATGGTAAGGAAACAACATAGGAAAAAACGCATTTATAGGCTAACCAGGATCCCCATTAAAATCCTAGATTTCAAATTTGAATGAGCACCATCGTCCAACATTCTCAAAAGCACTTACTATGATGTAATTGAAATACAGATTGTGATTTTTGCATGCAAATACCAGTTTGTTCGAACAAGAAAAAGTTTGTTGGATTAGAAAGCATTCCTTATCAGTTCTGATGTGAAGATCAATACCTTCAAAAATTACAAACTATTAAAAGACAATGTTAGTTGGAATGAAAAGATTTAATAAATCCTTAAATATTACTTATTCAAATGGTTTAGCAATAATGTGTTTGATAGAAGTTTTATGACACAAGGAATAAAGTTTGTTCTCAATGCATTAAGAATACAGCAGAGGGCGAGAATTTCTTAATGAACAAAAAAAAAAGGATGTAATAAGTGAATGCACCTAATTATGTTTAGTATCAAGATGATCTAATTTAAGGTTCTTACTACATTACTACATATATAAAGAAACAAATAAAAAGTGCATCAATCGTAAGAAAAAGGCATACCCAAATAGAACAATTCAAGTCATAATCATAAGAAAGCGATACTATAAAGCATGACTTACTGACCATTACAACCAACCCATCTTTCCTCTTGAGTTTTGATTTTTTGACAAATTCTTCCAAATTGCACTCTTAAGTTATGGAGTTTAACATACACAGGTGCAAATATGAAAATGCATATTATTTTAGCAATTATCTTAGTGCAGAAGTTAAGAGAGGTTAAGTAACGTTCACGAATAAATAAAAAAAAAAGAACAAGACCATTAGTATTAGTAAGGACGAAATACCCCGGAGTTTCGGAACCATTTGAAAAGCATGGCGATGGGGGATGCCGGCCAGGTAAAGGGATCTGGAGTGACTTAAGAGCAAACATTTGAAGATCCGTAACCAGACCATTCATCTTTTTTATGTCAGCTACCTGATTATTTCACACCCACAACAACAACAATTTGTCAATACCTCTGCAGACCATAAACAATAAAAAATAAAAAAAAACACTACCATACATAATTAGATTCAACTCTGATATCACCATTGGTCAGTTTCCCCAACCACCTTCCCAAAATATACCAACATGCTCATTTTCAAGTAGAAAAAACAGCACACAAAAAATTTATGGTATGATTTACAGAAGGAGAAAACGATTGAGAATCCTAAATTATCAATTAAAGAAAAACGGATGATATAGTTACCTCAACGCCGTATTTGATGGCGACACCAGCGAGAGTATCGAACCGGGACACGGGATGTTCAATAAAACCGGCAGCGGGCAAACTTTGATTCTTTTCTTTGTCTAAAACACTATAATCATTGCAAAAATTACTATAATAGCCATTGGTATTGTAACTGTAATCTCCATCTGCAATGCTGTTCCGCCTCTCTCTTTCCATCAGCATATCCTTCCGTTTCCGTTAAAAAAAACCCTAATTTTTTACCCTAATTTCATCTGTCCACTCTATTTGACTCTTCGATTCTTCTTCTTTTTTGGTGGAATCGAAATTCTTAACGAATTGATCCCTTGTCGACCGAATCGAAATAAATAAAAAAATTACAATTTTTAAGTAAAAAAATAGTTAAAAAAAAAAAAACGTAGATCTAAAGAGAAAGGAGGTGCGATAGGCAATTAAGCTAGCAGTTAGATAGATCGGGCGTTCCCTCCAGTATTCCGGGACAACTGGGTGAAAGATCCTCTTGTCTGTTTTCAGGAAAAAGAGTAACAAGGAGCCTTCAATTTCTGGGGGATGAGGCATAATAATAATTATCAACAAAATTATTATTTCAACCAAAAAAAAAAGAAAATAATTGAAATAATACTATAAAAAAAAAACAGTGGGGATAAAATTTTTTTAAAAAAGAGTTGTAAAGTTTTGACCCAAAAAAGAATTAGGGGAAAGTTGAGTAGTTATTTGGGAAACAACTGGCGTAGGAGTGTTCCCACCGAAACTCAGTTCCCTATGCCTACCCCATATGTAATGTCGGTCGTTCGTACTTCATCAATTTGGCTGTCATTTTTTTCTTTTTTACGTACAAGATAAAATGAAAAAATAATATTAAAATAAAATAGTACTTTGTTTTACATTGTCACATTTAAAAAAAAAAAAGAAAAAAAGATTGTCTCTAATTTATTTTTATTCACCCATTTTATTCAAACAGGATAAAAGTTTTTGTTTTACTAAATTGGTTTTTTTTTTTTTTTAAGTTAGTATTGTTGACTTGATTAATTATTTTATTATGTGAGACTTTTAGACAATAGATGTGCAATTGAGTGTTACAATTTTTGTGTGTTGATATTTTTTTCAGTAAGGGTAGAGGAATTTAAAAATAAATTAAAAATTTTAAAAATATATATATGAATTAAACAAGGAATTGGTTTTACTTAGCCAACCCGAGGAGTAACACGCCAACAGCAGTGTGTGAGGAGTGGAATTTGCCAACTTGTTGAAGAATATAAGGTAGTGTTGAAACTTGAAAGAGTCATCCAAGTCATGAAAACTACCACCATGCAAAATCTATTTGAAAAACATGGTATGCTATTTTTTTCAATGGATTCTCACTTGATAGTTATAGTAAATACATTCACCAACAACAAAAGAATGTAATCACATTCACCAACAACAACAGAATGTAATCTCTAATGGATATAGTAAATACATAATCACATTCACCAACAACAAAAGAATGTAATCGCATTGACGGATTTCTTTTTCATTCTATAAATCACTACCATGAAAGTAGTGTGCAAATCATCTGCTATACAAAATTGCAAGCATTTGTTGAATACCTGCACAAACACATATGCCATTAGTCTGGTGCCAATTCCAACGTTTTCTACACCAAAATGTTTACCATGAACCTGTGAATTTGATTTCCCGGGGAAACACTTTGAGTTGAATTGTTAGAATTCATGATATAAACGATATAAAAGCAGAAAAATTATGTTCAAAAGGTAAATAGATTTTGCAATTTGGTTACAATGTACAGATTATAGTTTTATCTGAGATACCGAAGCAAGACACCATCATTTCCAAGCACAAATCCCTTCTTTTCATTAATAAACCTGCATAGAAGGATTTACAGATCAATTGCCTTTAAAGTTATGAAGCTTAAAGATTTAGGGAAAATAAAAGCATTGTACGGAAAATATCGCCTTCTTTTTTTGGTTTTTTAATAGTAATTCAGTTTTAAAGATATGAACAATTGCAGGGGTAGGCATTCATAAAGTACACTGTAAGCTTATTCTGTGAATAATGCTTATTGGATTAGAACAGGTAGGCCACCATTAAGCCATAACTAAGCTAAGTTGACTATACGTCAAGTTAGAAGGTAGGTTTGCCTTCATTTAATAATAAAAAAATGGAATAAAAACTAAATATAAGAGAAAACAGAGGAGAAGGCCAAGGTATTTTTGGCTTTGTTTATATGGGGAAGGTTTTTTGGAAGTCATGTTTTACTTCATCATGCCTCATGGATTTAAGTTTACTAGGAACCATGAATTTAACAAGTTCCAATATTAGCTACCAAAAGGAACATGGCAGATCTTAATGATAAGAGCAGTAGAAAGTTAACCCTGAAATGATGCACATTTGGACAAAAATTAGGAAAACGAAAGTAGTCAAGCTTTTAGTAAGATTGGATTTACTTCACTGAGTATAGATTTGCAGCAATATTATCAGCTGCCTTGTCACGGGTCCAACTCTTCCCACCATTGGTAGTTCTCAACAAAACCCCACTGCCCCTGCTGCCCAAGCCTCTTCCTGCACAATCAAAATTCAGTTAGTATGCAGTTTGGAAATTCATAGGAAAAAAAGCCTATAGCTCTATTGCTATAGAAAGAAGCCTTAGACTAAAATTTGGCGCAGCCTTGGAATGAAATGCCTGAACAATATTCATGTAATTTGCTAGATGGATATATCACATGCTTATCATCTTGATACACCCATATCATGTGCTAAGCCAGTAATTTCATATCAATGGACTGGCCAGTATACATGTGCACATACATGCATAATATATGCAACATGAATGTGATTTACATAACATTTAACATGCATGGACATGTTTGCACATAATATTTAGATAAGTGACACAGGAAATGGATGCTGCAATCACTCATCCAGGTCTTCTTGAAGCCACACTGTAGAATTAGATAAAATATATGACCAAATATCTAGGGATATAATAGTTACCATTGATCAATAACCAACGTTGAGAATGCCAAAGCCACAGCTTTGGATAGGAACTTCATCAAAATCTTCTGTTAGCTGAAACATCACAAATTAAAATGAACACAAAGGACAGGGAGAAGTAGATGTCAGTGGCAATTTAAAAACCACAAACCAAACAAGCTGATAGGGGCTTGCATTAAGAATAATATGAGATGAAAATATTCAGATTTTATCACTAAAGATGGTGCAAAAGGTAGAGGTAGAAAGCAATTACATTCATGACAGAGTCATTCTGCATTCCAAGTTCAGTGGATATTATATCAGGGTATCAGCAGTGACCAATTATATCTTTTAGGAAAAAATCATGCTAGTTTTTTCAGTATAAGTCCTTAATTAAAATTTAATAGGAAAAAATTTAATAGTTGCAATGTTTTTCAATTTTCCCATTTCTGTATTCTTTCTAAGCCTAGGAAAAAGGTACAAGTCACATGTTAACATGAGAAATTGCTATTAAGAATGGAAATCTAGATTATTATTCACCTTTTACCAGATCAAATTTTCCCAGGTTTTCAGCCTTGGAAAGTCAACAGCTTTTTCAAATGAAAACTATCTTTCCTACTCCGAATCGATAAGTTTTGGTGAAATTGTATCCTCAGCACATATTATTAGAATTTCTTGAAGATAATTTTAAACACTGACTAAAATAGGGGAAGTCATCACTTTTCTTACCCCTGTGCCTTTGCTAAGAAAAAGTCCTCCTCCACGGACAAGAAGCCAAAAGGCCACCATCAACCCTCCATCCCATATTATGTATTCTTCTTGCAACTGCTCTGTTATGTGGTTGCCAGAATGGCCATAAATTGTAAAGAAATAGTGCTCATTAAGTATGCTGCATATGCTTAATTGAAACTCAAAGTAATGATTAGCAACAGAACATATTAGTATTTACCATATAAGAAAGAATATAAAAAGTAAAAACTGAAAAAAAAAAAAAAAAAAAAAAAAAGATAGAAGGATACCAAATTGTTCTGCTCCAAATACACAGTTAATGTAGTCCACTACAATGAGCATGTGGATCATTAAGAATAAAAACTGAAGAGCAAGAGGCCTCATATCTCGGCAATGAAGAGTCAATTGTACTCATACATGCAGGAAAGAATAAGATGATGCAATGGTTTCTATAATGTGCCTGAGAACATATAAAAGCATGATTGCTAGCAATAGAGCTTCAACTTTAATAATATTGGTTATGAGTAAGCATTCTCCTGTTACTTTTTTTCGACATAGCAATAACACTCTATGTTACTTTACATAGATATAGTATGACTGTATGAAGATCTTAAAAGAGAGACAAGCCCTATGAATCCTGGAAAACAACTATGCAGAAGGAATTATACCTGTCCAGGCTCCCATGTAAGATGAAAGTTACCACGGCTTGAGACAACCACATATCGTCCATCTGGAGAGCGATTCACAGTGTTAAAAGTTCCTGTATAATAACTTGCCCCACTAATACCACTAGAAACTGTTCTGCAGAAGTAATGAAGCAATGTAAGCATTTTCCCCTACATACAATTAACAATCTTATAGAGTTCTTCAAAGAAAAGGGCTTATTGCCTACTGAATTTCCCGGCAATCCTATTTGTTTAAGGAACATTAACTTGCTTTACAATAGTGCACTGCTCCTTTAAATTTGCAAAGGGCGATGATGATACTAGTAAACTTGAGCAGCACATCAACCTAAAGATGAATATAAAAGCAATGATCTAATTTACTTTTTTTTTTAAAAAAAAATTCTTTTTAAATTCTAACTTCTGTTTCAACGGTTTATGCATATAAAGTCCTTTGTAATAAAGCTTATCTGAAACATCACTACACATAACTTAAACAGACACATACCTATTCAGAGTAGCTGAGACAGTCTCCTGAACGGCAGCTCTCCAGTTATAGCCCCTGTTTGATGTAACATATATTGCACCATGGTCAGTTACCATTTCTGCACTCTTTTCACCAGTTGCCTTTATATATACCTGCACAAATCCAGATGATTTAACCCAATCACTTAAAGCACCGATGTTTAGACTAGCCATATCCCAACACACAAACGTTCAAATGCTTGCAAATAAATTGACAATAATAGCCCCCCAATAAAAAAAAAAAGTTATAAGCTTTCAATGTGGATGCTCAACTATTTCAAAATAATATTTTAACAAGTACCTTTACTTGAAATGCATAATAATGGGCTAAACAAGTTTGAATGAACACCATCAATGCTTGGTGTTATGATGTAATGGGATAGTAAGCTGACCATATCTCCAGGAAGTTGAGCACTTAATGGAATTCTTTCCCAGCTTTCTCCAGCATCTGAAGTGTACAACAAAATTGCAGGTTTCCCAACAATCCAACCTTCTTTGCCTTTGAAGCTAATAGAGTTAAACCTACAGTTGAAATCTTCATCCTCAGCTGAAGGAATTGAGCGTGGAACCCTTGTGTTTCCCCCATCTTTTGTCCATGATAGTCTGCCTTGTCCCCAGCAAAAATCCTATAAAAAAAAAAAAACCATAAAAAGAAATTAAATACTCAGCTTCATTAATTAAGCCAAAAAAGCTGAAATTTAGATTAATGAATGAGTAAAAGAAAGAAGAGAGACCGTGGTTTAAGTCATCTGGGACAAAGGCGATGTCTAGAAGGACAACACCGGGATCGATGGGAAGGTAGACTCTTTCCCATTCCGACAAAACTTCCTCGGACTAGGCGGGCAGTTGGAGAGCCGAGAGAGTTGCAACGGACAGCGAAATGGACGCCGCTTGGGATATAAGTTGTCTTCGGTTGACGAATGTTGGCAGAGAAGAAGAAGAAGAATGGTGGGGTTGCTGGAGAGAAGCTTGGAGATAAAACTCGGGTTGGGTTAGTTTAGGGGACGGTGGAGAAGGCGAGGAGCGAAGAGAGAAATTAAGGAAGGTTTAAGGTTGGAGCAATCACTCACTCGAAGATTGGGCATTGCCATTATATCAGTCACTCTGCTCTGCTCTGCTCTCTGTCTTCTTTTTTTTTATCTATTGTTTCTTATCCAAATGGTGGTGGCTGGTTATCATCAACAGCTAGGCGGGCAGTTTGGGGCGTCAAAATCTTACTGGATATTACAACATTCATTCAACTCTTTATGCGAGGGGTACGGGGATCGACACCCCTCATCTCCATATTTCCATTTTTTCTTTGGTTTTTATTAATTAATAATTATTATTGTTTGGTATTATACGTAATCCTTCAACGGCTTTACCTGATATTGAGATATTGTACTTGTCATTTGCCTTCATATGAGATCAAACAAGGGTCAGAAAAAAAATATACTGACATTTATAGGAGTTGAAAATGCTGAATATTCCTTCTGCGCTCTCCTTTCACATAGTTTTGACAAAATTGAAATAACCACACCAATTACATCCAAAAGCTCAAAGAGCAACAAAACATGACCAAGGAGAAATGCGATCAAACTTAGATTGATAATCTAAACTTTTTTTTTTCTAGGGTTGGATTGAAGTTTACATAGACAAGAAGTTTCAAACAAGACGACAATGGTGTCACTTTCCCTTCTTTTTTTTATACTATAACACCAAAGAAGATATCCATATCCATTCCCTTCTGTACAATAGAGTGTATACAAGGATCTTAGTAGATAAGAAGCAAAAGAAATTTTTCTTACCGCTTATTGGAAAAGGAGAGAAAAAAGAATTGAAGCAAGTGAATTGAACAACATCAATGCATTAAGGGCAAATAAATCACAAATAACCTTATTAAAGAACTTGGGATTGTCATGGCCGGTAAATTCTGATGGTCTTTTTGCCCTAAAGCCGACAGAATGGACACCGGGAAACTGCAGAAGAGCATCTATGGCAAAGCACATGGCCTCAAGGAACTATTGTCATATGTCAATTTTAGAGGTTTTTCCGACAGTAGGACACTTCCAAATCTTTTTCCAAACTAAAGAGTACTCCTAATTTTTTTCCCCTACATCACTGCCACAACATTATCTAATTATCTATGTGCAAACGTTTAAAAAAAAAAAAAACCCAGTCTTACTGTATATATAGACCCAATTTTTTGAGATCTCTCTGACCGATTACGCCACTCTACCAAACAACACTTTCTTCACTATTTCTTAATTAACATCCGCACCTTCTTCCCCTGACCCACCAAATTTTCACCATATATATAAATATTTTTGAGGTGATTGACTTCATTATTTGATTTGGATTTGTTAAATTGTTGATCCCAAGCTTTCAAGTTTTTAGCTTTAGCCTCATACAAATTTGAAAAGATGATTCTGGTGGCAATTGTAGTGGAGCTAATAGAGGAGTACATGGTGTTCTTGGCTAGAATAATAAGTTTCTGGAAGTAATAAGCAGTAACAAAAGCCAAAAACCAAATAATACCCAAAGTAAACCAATCACTATGTCTGCTTTGAACTAACTTTATAGCCCAACAGTAGTTGCAGAAAAAGTACCACATTCAATAAACTGTAATAATCCTATTTCAGTTCTAGAAGAAGATTGGGGATGACTCCATCCTACCAACGGAATTAAGGATCTGTATGAAGGGTTGTACGAAACGGGAGGATGTTTATATTATTACAAGATTGTTGATTATTTTATAAGAAAAAGGATAAAGAAGAGAGCTTTGGATGTTGCATAAATATGGGAAACTCAAAGGTCATGACTTGAAGAAGAAGAAGAATGGGGAACAGGAGTCCATTGTTAAGATCTTAAATACGAAAGAAAAGTATTTTTTTCTTTATTTTTTGTCTTCAATTTCTTGATCTCGTGGTTAAAATAATATTAAAAAAACATCAAAATTAAAGTTGGATCTCAGTTTCCCTCTCTCCCCTTTATTATAGGGCTATGCCCATTTTCAAAGACCAAAAAATGTTTTTTTTTCCCGGAGAGAGAGAAGGAATAAGGAGAAATACAGATGAAAGGTGAAGTAAAGTGCTTGGTGGCTTTCTTGGTGCTTACATGTAAAAAATATTTCATTTGAGGAAATAAGAATTAAAGTACCTCTATCAAAGAATTAAGATTTTTTAATACTTGGGAAAAAAAAAAAAAAACTCGTCACTTTTATGCACGTAGTCTTCAAAAGAGACATTTGAATTTAAAGAAGCATTGTTTTGTAATTATATTATAGAGAAATATGAATATGGAGCTTGGTAAATGAAGCTGCAATACCTCAAGAAAGGTTGAACACAAAGAACAGCTAATTAATTTAATAGAATATTACATCTAAGTGTATTTGGTTACCTGAACGCATGATATATTGAGGGTCAGGCTGTTCCCGATGAAACTTGCCCTAAATAATTTGTCAACATGGAGGTGCCGCAAGAATTTGTTATAAGTTTTAACTTGTTTTTGGTGATGGGTCCAGGCGGACTTGGTTGGAGGATATTATGTGCAGGGGATCTAAAAAATTAAAAATTTGGCACAACGACTTAATACCGACACAAGGCAATAATCAAGAATACATCTCATAAGTCAATAACAGATCTAAAGTTGCTGGTCCAAGATCTCTCGGGGACCATATGGATATGGTGCCTCTCTCCAAATCCCGTAAAGAACACCTATGAGCTTCCACAATAGCTTAAAGAGTTTAAGGATGGGCCCCGACCCAGTTAATATATTTTTCTTTATACACCTTTGGGACCCCTAAAGTTCTGACACAGAATTGTAATATATTTGTTTAATATATAATTTAGGATTATAGAAAAATTATATTGTTATAATATAACCCAAAAGGCAAATTCTGATAAATTAGCAAGCAATTAAAATCTAAATAGCAACGGCATTTAATTTTCAAGAAGTTCGACACAAAAGTTAAGACGACAAAATGAAGGTTGAAAGCCAAAAACTATATGATCTAACAAAAACAATTACTGCTTAACAACGTAAGCAGGGACCAGACGGCAGGGGAAAAAGAGTATTCTACCACCCCACTTCAGTCCTCATCATTGAAAGTAGTCTTCTTACCTGCATTATATAAAAATATAAATATATATTATGAGAAAGCCATGATAAGATGCCAACCTATCTCCAGCTGATGTAAGTAGCAAGTACTCATTACACTCAAAATCTCAGCACAAAAAATGAATTAATGTAAGCAAAAGAAGCTGCGATATAATTTATCTCACCACTGAAAAAAAGTAATGTAAGCAAAGCAAGCAGTAATAGTAAATACCTGTGCCAGCAGCTGCAAGGTTTGGCCTATTAGGTGCTCCACGTCCTCTGCCAGCACCACCAAAACGACCAGCCCCATGTCTGCCACCACGACCACCACGACCACCACGGCCACCACCATCCCTTCCACCACTCCATCCACCACTCCTTCCACTACTCCTGCCACCACCTCTTCCACTGCCAGAACCATCACGGAATTCACCTCTCGGTTTTGCCTCATCCACAGACAAGGAATAATTATTAAATTCTGATCCATCTAGTTCTAGAGCTTTGTTGAAACTATCACCATCATTGAAATCCAAGTAAGCATAACTGCAATTGATGGAACACAAATCAGATATACAACTAAGAATAACAAAAGTACTTCCAAGATACTAAAATCATGTTTGATGGATAGGATAGTATGATAATTATTCTCTATTATGTTTAGTTTGTATCTAATTGAAAGGAATAAGATTACAAAAAAGATTATCATCCTCCCAAAGTGGAGAGTATTATTTTTAATCCATGGGATTAAACTTATATATCCTATTATACTCTTAAAAATTACATCAATAATTTAAATTATATAAACTTTAAAGACAATTTGGACCAATAAATAAATTATCATATCTTAATCCTTACACACATCAAACATAAAATAAAATGATATTATTTAATCTAATCTTATTCATAATATCATCTTATCCTATTTTATCATAATCTTATGTATCAAACATGACCTAAAATTACAAGGAAAAAAATATTTTCCAAGGATGGTCCAATATTAAATATTTCAGGAGACTTTAACCAGGGTACGTGCATATACCATAACTATAGATCATATCAAAAATGCAGTAATTGACTGAGTTCTACTAAGCTATTTCTCCAGCATTAAGCTAAAAGCACCAAATCTAAGCTTATCTACAATCTTAGGAGTCTCCATCTCATACATACAAATCAATTAGCAAAGAAGTGGATGAAAGGGACAATGTATTAATTTCAATGATTGATGTGAAAAAAAAAATAGAAAGATACAGAATTAAAAACAATAAAACAGGAATTTTCAGAACACAAATCACAGCAACAATAGATACAAACCCTTTCACAGCACCAGTCTCCCAATCTACTGGTATTGCCACCCTAGAAATCTCTCCACAAGAACCAAAGTGCTCTTCCAAGGAACTCTTAATCTGAGAATGTTTTGGACACAGCAAATATATAAATACAAAAAAATTTCAAAAGCAAAGAGGAGAGGAGAGAGCAACTAAAACTAATATTTAAAGCAAACCACTAACCTCATCCTGACCAAGAGATTGATCAAACCCCTTGACAAATATTGTTCGAACCTGGCCTCTTCCACCTTTCTGGAATGAGTTGTTTCCATTGCTGCAAAGGACAGACTAGCAGCGTCAAGATCAGGGGTTAAAAAGTAAATATCAATTCACAGATTGGAAGACAGGAGAACAAAATCACCTGCTGCGTGGAGTATATGCACCCCTTTCACGGGCCAAATCAAGTCTAATAGAACGATTCATCAAATATTCACCATTCAATTCTAGAGCCTGCAATAAATGATGATGTTAGCTAGCAACTTTACAATTGCTTACCTAAGAACAAAGAAGTATGAATGCAAACACATTTGCAATTCACTTGAAGGCTATTTGATAATTTGTTAAAAATTTTTAAAGAGGTTTGGTTACAAATTTTAAGAAACCATTCATAGAATATTTTAATATGAATTGTCATTTACTTGACATACAATTTGAGAAAATCATACCATTTTTACAAAATCTAAATCTAAATCTATTTGGTAATTAATTTTCATCAACATAAAATAGTTTTACAGTACAAATACAGTGCTTACAGATTTCAATGCTATATTTCAGCCCTTTATTCTTCATAATTGAAATTGTAAATTCATTAAACAAGACCTTACTCTAATAAAGATTGACATGTTGCCTATAGTTATTCCACATCATATTCACAAGCATGCAATTATTTACAGAAAACATAAACAAAAATTTAGTTTGTACATCCGACATCCATGTGCAATCCAAAATGAAAGAAGAAATCTACCTTCTGTGCATCCTCTGCGGTAGCAAATTCAACATGTCCATAACCCTTAAAATTCCCTTCAGCATCAGTGGAAAATCGTATGTCCACAACCTCACCAGCATCTTTAAAGAAATTCCTTCTGCAGAACAAGGTTGATCAGATGAAAATAAAATTAAAAAAAAAAAATCAATTCAGAGCAAGCCGAGAACCTAAACATACACATCATCTTGTTCAACTTGAAAAGGTAAGTTTCCAGCAAACAGTGTCTTTGATCCTGTAGTTTGAACTTGAGGAGCTGCAGGAGTATGGGGCTGCCAAAAAAAAAAAAATCTAATGAAATTGCAATCTGTTTGACAAAATGAGCAAAAACAAGCAATTGGGGGTAAGCTTCCAAAGAAATTGAAAGGGAAATTGGAACTTACAGCTTTCTTGGCAGACTTCAAATCCTGCTGCTTAGCAATTTTCTGTGGTGTTGTAGCATCCATCATTTCTACATCTGTTTCCTGATTCCAATATATAATTACAATACATTAGGCAATCATCACATCAACCATCCAAAAGTATAAGGCAGAAGACAGTGATTCCAAAGATCCGTACTTTTTTCTTTGGAGTTTCTTCGTCACTTTCCTCATCATCATCGGATGATTCTTCAGATTCCTCCTCTTCACTACTGCTTACTTTTTTAACAACTTTAGCATCTTTTCCACTATTTGAAGCAACCTTGGACTACAGTTTATAGAATTAGACAACTTAGTAAATTGATTCCAGAGAAATATCTAGCGAAACATAGATGATCAAGAAAATTTGACCTTTTTGGCTGCAGGTTGTTCATCCTCACTTTCATCAGAGCTATCATCGTCACTATCATCACTTTCCTACAATGTGAGAGGGAAAGTTAGAAAGAAAAGAAATATTCTTTAGTCACAGTTCACACGATGTTGAAAGCCTCATAGATAATGTTTACAGAATTAAATCCCTGAATCAATTAAATCCTTATTTAAACTCAAGCTACACATATAATATCATGAGTTGTCCTACCCCTAGGAAAAAATGCCAAAGAACAGGAGTGCAATTACAAGCACAAAAGTAAGGAGGAGCAACCTGTTTTGATTGTTTTGTCCCAGCTGTGGGGAGTGGCCTTTTTGAAGGAACTGGAACTTTGTTTGAAGGAGCCTGCAGTGTGATATTAATGCAATGCCAAATTAGTACAAGTTTAACGAGAACACGAACAGTAACAGAAAAAGCCTCATCCTTAGAAGAATTGTTCATTCCTCATCCCTGGGATTTTATAGAAAAAGGAATTGTGCCACCAGACTTTAGACCATAAGATTACCTCATCCTCAGAGGAATCAGAGTCTAAGGAACTTTCAGATGACTCTTCTTTCTTTGCTGTTTTCCCAGTAACAGGTTTCTTATCACCTTTTGCTTCAGCTTTCTGCTAAAATTTATTCAATGACAATAAGAATAACAAAAAACAAAGAACCATGACCAAACTGAAACTGCCATATTAACAAATTCAAAAGTTAAAGAACACCTCTTCTTCCTCAGAATCACTATCATCAGAGGAGCTATTAATGGATTCCTCAATTTTCTTGGGGGTAGGAGCAGATGTTTTCTTCACTGCAGTTGCTTTTTTTACATCCTAGTCAAGTGCAACAGAATAAATAAAATACATACACAAGTAAAAAAAATAGAAATATAACTTTATGAATGAGATATTGAACCTCTTCATCAGAATTCTCCTCAGAGCTGCTATCACTGGATGTGGTTTTACCCTTTGTAGTCACTGAAGGTACAGTCTTTGAAGCAGATGATGGTAAAGTATCCTTTCGAGGAGGTTCCTATACAAGTATTTATTCAATTAGTGCAACATGAAACATCATAAATAATTCAATGCCAATAAAAAGGTAGACTTTATAAGGACGTCTAGGTCTATTATAAAACCAAATTTTAACATGCTTTCCAGGGCACATGTTTGCACAACAGTGATCATATTTTCCTTACTATAGAAAGCTTTGCTAAATATTCCAATTATTGTAACATTGCTGGCATCTTAACACTCACATCCTCTTCATCCAAAGAGCTGTCACTTTCTGAACTATCACTCGACCCCTTTTTGGGAACAGTAGTGGGTCCTTTATTAGAGGCTGGCTTTGATTTTTCCTGTACATGTAACAGATTATGTTTATAAATTACAATCACAAAAGTTCCCCAATCAAATTTAAAAGCAAAGTTCATTCAACAACCAAGCACTTACTTCATCTTCATCTGAGGAATCTGAACTGCTGGAGGACTTGCCTTTCCTAACAGGTGCAGAGACATTTTTAACCACTGCTGCTACCTTCATTTTTGCAGCAGGCTCCTATATCAAAATTGAACAATAAAGATTAAGTCAAGAGTTTGTATAGTAATTATTGTGTTCCGTCCAGCATCAGCCTCAATTCAATACTAACATCATCCTCATCAGAGTCATCATCAGAAGAAGAATCTGAACTGCTGGAGGACTTTCCTTTCTGAACAGGTGCAGAGCCCCTTTTAACCACTGCTGCTACTTTCATTTTTGCAGCAGGCTCCTAAATCAAAATTCAACATCAAAGATCAAGTTATTAGCTTGCATAGTTATTATTGTGTTCTGTCCAGCATTAGCCTCAATTCAATACTCACATCATCCTCATCAGAATCATCATCAGAAGAAGAATCTGAACTGCTATCAGCTTTTACTGTCTTAGCAGCTGGAACTGCACCATTTTTAGCAACTACATGTTTTTTATTCTGAGCAGGAGCTTCCTGGAAAAAAATTGAACATTAACAATCATACAAAAGACCACATGCAACCAGGCAAATATTATACGCATTAGCATAATACTCACTTGATCAGAGGACGAATCTTCCTCACTACTAGACTCAGAAGAATCTGAACTGCTAGCTTGTTTTGCTTTCTTTGCAGGAACAGAGCCATTCTTGGCAATAGCTGAATGTTTCCTCTGGGGCACAAGTTCCTGAGCCAAAAAAATAACATCAAAATAGGGTAAGCAGATACAGACATGCCTCCACATTCTTCATTTTGTCATCTTGTGAACATGTTACCTGGATAATTAAGAGAATTAAGAGCCAACACTTAAATACATATATAAATAAGTTAATGCAGTGACATAACGAAAGGAACAGACACAAAACAGAACATGAATAAAAAAGTGCACTATTAGCATAAATCAAAATTAAGACCAACAAATGAAGTAGAATGAAAGAAACGGTAGCTTTTTGCATACATCCTCGGAATCAGAAGAGTCATCGGAAGAGCTACTAGTTTCATCTTTCTTCTTCTTTTGGGTCTTGGCTTCAACCTTCTTCTTTACAATGGCCTGTGCTACCCCATCGTTTTTCTTCTGCCCTTTCACGGCCACTTGTTTTTCAAGAGTTTCTTCAGCTTCTCTCTTGCCTATATAATCATAAAAAATTGAAAAAAAAAAAAAAAACCACACAAAGAACAATGAAAACCATAAACAAGTAGTTCCCCTACAATGCAAATCAATTTGTAAATTTTGAACCTTAATCACACATTCTATAAAAAAAAGATTTAAAATTCAAAACAAAAAAAAAATGTATACCTTTCTTTCCAGACTGAGAAGGAGCTACAGCAGGAGCTGCTTCAATCTATAAAAGAGAAAAGAAAACACAAAATCAAACCAAAATAAAAATAAAAGGGATTAAAAAGAAGCCGACAAAGCCAACTGGAGAAAATTATTTAGAGAGTTTAAAAAAGTGAAAAAAGAAAAGTACTTTGAGGGTTGATTTCTTGCTTGATTTTCCCATAGATGAAAGAGATTGAAGCCGGAGTTTGGATCGTTTCGATTGTGTTAGAGAAAAAACAGCGGCCTTTGCGGAAGTTACAAAACCCTACTGCTTTCGAGATTTTGGGGGTTAAGGGTTTTGAAGCGAGAAAGCACTCCAGGTAAAATGTCGTTTATATATATTTTTTTTTTATAAAAACGATTGAAGTCTAAATGCTAAACGCTTGCCAAAGAAGCAGTGGGGTTAGGGCTTTTGCATGTTCGCAACTGCTGCAGATATCTCGCCTTGTACTTTTTCCTCTGAAGCGGTTGAATTGCACGTGTCACATATGCACCATTGGCTCCATCCTGGGGAATCCCTGGTGGGATATTGGACTATCTTTTAATGAGACCCAGCTGGTTGTTGGATTGACTCATAGGCCCAATGAAGAAGATTTAGGCTCTCGCTAGCTCATATTTTTAGTTGGCTAGCCCATCTTTTTAGTCCTAAACTTGGGCCACCAATGATGTCCAATTTAAGACTAGTTCTTAAATACCAGAATACTTGTTTTATGTGTCGACTCCAATTGCCAGATTGGTCCAGTTGTCTTATTTAATGCTTAGATCTATACCTAATCTAATATGATCTTCCTATTTATTTAATATTTAATAATTATTATTAAAAATATTTTTATATTAATATTTTAATATTTTTAAATATATTGTATAATTTAAATTAAATTAAATATATTATTTAGTGATATAAAAATATCTTTAGACATAATTGAACATTTAAAGCTCAACCTTATTAAAGTTGAACTCAAACCTGATATCACAATTTATATTAATTTACAAGGTGTTAACATTTTCAGTTCATTGAGGCTAATGATTTTGTCTAGAAAAGGTCTCACAAATTAAAAATGTTAGTGAAATTTATATATTCAATTGAACCATAATAGATGAGGGACATTTGGATTCATGGCTTCCACCTAGGAAGTAGCTCTACTGCTTGGCACATCTACTGTGTTAGTTGTTAGCTCTATTGTTGGTAATTTGCCTAAAATTATAGTTTATAGTTATCATCTCATTAAACTTTTAATCAACTACAGTTTTTTGGGGGCTATTTGAAAACATCTTCCAAAAAGATAAATTTTATTTGATATCAGATTTTTATGTCAACCAAGAGAAGAAATGCTATAATGTTCTCCCAAATGAATACACAATGAAATTAAAATTGGACAAAAACATCTTAAACATTTGAAAAATCCCACTTGGATTCTTTATACTTTAAGATGAACAAAATAAACAACTAAACGTTTGATTTCCTTCACTTTTGATCAAAGAGACAACTTCGTCTCCCATAATTTTATCTCCTGTTTTAGGTTGCACACTGTTCTTAATACTACTCTATGGACAAAGAAGAGAAAGGCTTTTGATATTGTGGTAACTTGGATGCAAAAACCATTACTGCGTCCTTGCTCCACATTGCCTGCATTTATATTTATATTTATATTTTATAGCCAGGTGACGATGAGTGTGAAATTTGAACCTCAAAGACTCAACAATCAAATGCTATGCCATTCGACTGGGAGCTCTTTTGTGCAAATCTAATTCTCAACAGAACAAACCATATCATATCTTCAGATTCTAAAACTATTTAGCATATGTCTAAAGTTTCCGTTAACCCATCTGCTTCCCAACAATAACTGACTGATACATATGCAAAAACCGGCACATATGCAATTTCGAGTGACAAAAGTTGAATATCAAAATCTTATATTACAAATGCTGAGATTAAAAATGAGAAACTGAGTTCAGAAGCCCTGGAGAATCAAATGGGGCCTTCCAATCCTATTCAATCAGTTGGAAACTGTTGGGCATTAGGTACGACACCTGTCATTGCAGCGGTAATGGAGTTGGAGACTGCTTAGTTACAAATTGCTCAATGGCAGTGGAAGCTTTATGTGCCTTAGAGCAGTACTAACAAAATGAGTGACTGAGCTATTCGGTTATTATTTCACAGATTCAAGAAAGATTTATTACTACAGAAATTCGGCCACTAAAAAAGTCGAAACAAGTTACCTTCAACTATGAACCCACAATGGCTCTAAAGAGAAAGGTCTCTCATTCTGTGCGCGGGCAGCTGGAGTTCCAGGCGGGGGTGCATGAACAGTTATAGGAAGAACCCACTCACTTTTATCTCTACCTTCCATTAAAAGAGGATGCTCATATCTGAATTCGAAATTAAGAAGTTGTAGCTCATCTTAACAATTATATTTGGCAAAAGATAAGGCAGAAATCTTCTAAATTTCAATAAACTAAGAATTGATTAAACCAATTTTAAGCCATTTCAACTTCTGAGTCAAAGTGTAACCTCTGGAATGACATTTTCAAATTTAGATAACAATTTACAAGAGATTTTTATCATAAACACAGAAGCAACAGAGTTCAACTAACAAATCATATAAAAAACATTTACAAATAGGATAATTATTTTTGGAGGACCTACATAAAATTGAAACTGCATATACCCAGTTGCTGGAAGGTTATCATAATTTTATTAAAATGTTAAGAAAATTTTGTTGGATCATCGCTTCTTTTTTGCTAATACTGTGTCACAGTATTCTAAAAAGCTATGAAAAAATTTTGCTGCTGCCAGAGCAAAGAAGTATTAATGGCATATGCATATAGCCCACAAGCATACAACCATTTGATAAATCTTCAATACCAAGTCAACCATTAGTAACAAATTCTTTCGATAAGCTAGAATGATTCTATTGCAGTACCACATGGTCATACCTGGCACGGTCTATATTCTTTGGAGTAGTGAAAAATTCAAATCTTAGGGCCCAATGCACCGAGACATGAGGAGTGGAAAAGGACATGGGACCATCCATGGGAATAGAAAAGAGAAAACTTGTCTGTACCAAATCGGCAACAACCTCGTGATGATCACTCTGAACCTACAAGAAAAATCAATAAACAAGATTACTATAACGTCTAAATGTGCAGAAAAACATTAGGTTTCTTATCTTGAGTCGGCGAGGTTCAAAAAAGCATCATTAAAGAAATAGTTTGAAACCTTTAAGCCAGATACAGATACATGTATTCTATGAAATGCTTGCACCCAGGCAAAAGCAATGCTCATTCTCAGAAATAGAATAATGACTAACAATATAAGAACCATAACTAGAAGAATAAACCACTTCAAGACTCAATTATTATTTTACTGCCAAATTCATTTTAGTTCCTTTTTTTATAAAGGAATGGTTATACTAAAATCATGAAAAGGGGCTTAATCAAAGCACTTTTTTGAAGGATACAAGAGCAAAAACTAAAAGGAAAATGAACACTATCTGAAAAAAAACTACAGAGGAAACGAGAGTAAAAATGGATAAAGGATTCTAGCAATGAAGAGCTTCTTAACAAACAACAAGCATTTGCAAAGATGTCACTTTCCGAGCATACTAGTGCATGAATGCGTGCATGTAGCAAGATAGAGGGAAAGCTAGAAAACATAATTATCATGGGTTTCATGCCAAAACAGATCAAGCATGTAATTGAGTTTAATCTACATAAATTAATAAGAACCACTCTATTTCATGAATCCACCAATGTAACTCACTGTAGAATCAAAAAATTTGAAAAGGCATACCTTAGTAATTGTTGGGGAATTCCTTCTAGAAGGATGAACAGAAAGCCAGTTTATAGTCTCAGAAGTTTCCAGCTTGACTGACACCGACAAGATAGCAATTCTTCCAGTAAATTTCAAGATGCATCATTCAATAGATCATAATTACTTCACTTCTTTAATAGTTTCACAATTTGGTCATAATCTGCAGTTACCTCAAGGCATCTTCTAGCTCCTTCTTCATGAAAGAAAGTAAGAGTCCCACCTATCTGTTATTGGAGTAGATAAATAAAAAAACAAGAAGAAACAATGGATGCAAATTCATGCAAGGAAACAGAAGCTATAGCCTAAAACTGATTTTACCATATCACTGAAGTAATAAGTGGATTCAGAGTTCTTAGGGGAAAATCTTAGCAAAACTTTGTCATCCATCCTGATATTATAAGACCTTCCTCGAATAAAGCCTTCTGCCATAGAAAATGTTTGTAACAAATAAGTTTACCAGGATTCACATATTAAACAGCTCAAGGCTAGATTCATGCTACGTTAGAAACAAACAAAACATAAAAATGGAGGCAGCAAGTCTGATACTTTACATGCTACAGATTCATTGGCTCCTGAGCCGGGTGCAGAAGATACTCCTGTGATATCATCTGCTGCTAGGGATTTTGTAGGAGTCCACTGCTGGCATGGAGATAAAAGACAACTCATCCAAAATGATCATCCTAGCATAATATTTTTTACATGTTTCTTAATCAAATTTTCACGTAACAAGCAATGAACCATTACTATTCCTAATGTCATCCCAAAAAGATTTTTAAACATAAGGGTCTTTTAGTTTTTATCAAGTTTATTCAGAGGGTTTTTTGGATATTTATTCATGTAGTTAGGCAAAACAGTGATTTTATTTATGCTAGGACACTTCATGATTTTACCATAATAGTTGTAAGAGGCTTTTTGATTAGCTTTATCTTTATAAGGCAACTCGGTAAAGTGTTCCAATACCTTAGATGTTAAGCATCCCTATTTACCACTATGTTGTTTTTTACCATTTGTTGGAATAGAGACAATGGCATATTTTAAAATATTTTTTGTTGTTGCTGCTTCAGTAAGATAGACTTCAAGTACCAGTGGTAGGTTCTAAGTGACATGTGACTCACTTTGGTTCAAAATGTTATTGGGGTTATTTAATGCTATTGAATCCATCTAGGTATTTAGATGATATAAAACAAAAAGAAAGTTAGAATCATGAAAAAAAATATAAAATAATAAAGGACTTTATAAACATAATAATTACTAGTTCTTAGAGACTTTAAGTAATATTTACATATATAAAAAAAAACTCAAATAATACCTTTAATTTAATCTAATATAAATGTATAACTGAATAAGATAATGGTTTTAGTAAATGAATTGACAGCATAATACAAGTTATATGACCAACAAAAATTTTCAAACATAGACGAGTTTAATTGAAGAAAAAGAAGCAAACAGAATCTCGTAACAAATATTAGTAATAATGATAAAAACAGAAACTTTAAAAATAAAAAGGAAATTAAGGAAAAAAAATAGAACTAGAAATCAAAACATAAAAAAAAAAAAAAACTAGAAACTCCAAGTTCCCACAAACTAACATGAAACAACATCACACAAAAGTTAGGTTTTCATTTTTCTTTAATAAATTATTATTAAAAATTATAAGTTTTTTAAAGCATCTTAACTAAACTTGGACTTACCTTTAAAATCTGTGATGTTCCTTAGTGCTAGATTGTACGAATAAAAGGTACCATGACTTTGTATGAGGCATGAGGTGAAGCTAAGAAAGAGTGAAAAATTGATACTAAAAAATATTAAAAGTAATGGTGTGTCGTGTAAAAGCTTGGGAAGAGAACACTTGGGAAGAGATCATTAAGAGCGGCATGAGAGTGAATGATTGAAAGAGAACGATCAATTAAGTTTAAAGTAATGTTGATAGCATGGGAAATGAGAATTAGAAAAAGGAAATGACTTAATTCTAATTTTTAATGGATATTTGAATTACCAAAAAGATAAGTAGCAAAAGGTTAATTGTTTTTTAGTTGTGCTTTAAAACTTTTAAATTTGAATTGGATTTTTGGGCCATTATTCACTTTCAAATTTTAACATTTTGGGTTTTATTCTGGTTAATTTGGGTTTTCCAAAATCCAAATAAGAAAAATCAAACCAATATGAATTTTTTATGGGTTAATGGCGTCATTTATTCGAATCCAAACCAAATTATTTAAAACCAGAACACTTTGATTTTTTAGTTTTTTTTTTATTTTTTCTCAACCCTTCCAATCGTCCTGCCACTATCCTATTTTCAACTAAAGCACCCAAAATTTTTCACAATCCCATAAATTCAAGGATTTAGAACTCCTAGTTGGCTTTATAATTTGAGCCAAAAAATGCATCAAGAGGGATTTATTCAAGCAAAAAAAAATCTTTGTAAACCGAGATCAATTGCAACCACTATCATCTCTTATAATCAGATTTTGAAAACTTTCCCCCGTCCTTGCAACATTACCAAAACCTTCTATCAAGATCACTCTCACTTCCAAGCTAAAAACCAACTTAATCACCATGTCTTACCCTACTAACCACCACCTTAAACAAAGCTTTAAAACACATACCTTACCTCATCATTGTCGGCACACACATTAAGCCTTAATCAAAACAACCACCACTAAAACATAAAAAAAAGATACTCAAAACTCATGACAGTTGAAAGTCCAGAGTTTACAAATCAAGGAATCGAAAAGCCATTTCTTTTCTTGTTAAGATTCAAGACCATAAAAGCAAAATAACCAAAAAATAAAAAACAACATCCCTAAAAAGAGGAATAGCAGTAAAAAAATTTTTCACAAACATCAAACTAAGGTTTTTAGTTTATAGGGCTTTAGGTGGATTCATGGCCTCAAACTTTAGGAAAAAAGAGATTAAGAGGTGGGGAAAAACATATTGCAAATAGGGGCAGTGATTGTAGTGGCAAAGACTAGTATATTGGTGGGTTTTGGCCAAACCTTTAATTTCAAACCTAGGATTATAAAGATTTATTTTGGAAAAAAAGAGGTTGGATTTTAAAAGAAGGGGTTGAAAGAAGTTCAAGGTGAAATATTGGGAGGAAAAAACATAAGCTAATAGTAAAATCTATGATGGTTAGTTAACTCTTTTGGGTCTTAGAGAAAAAAATTTTTTCCTTTAGAGAGAGAATGAAGAAAAAAATGAAAGAAAAAAAATTTAAATTTTATAGTTGTTAAAAAAAAACAAGACGACATTGCTATGAAAGTAGGGGATCTATACATAGACTTGATTCGACCTAGGATTCATGCGTCTGACCCAGTTCTTTATCCTATTGACCAGCTTAGATTGATTGAGGTGAACCATCATTGAATTGACTGCGAATTGATCTAAATCGTCGTCAAACATTTTTGAAACCAGGTTGAACAACAAAAAAATCAACTGAGTTGTTTCTGAACCCCCAGAATCACTACAAACCATGAAAAAACCCTTCGAACCTTATCAAACCAATTGAACCACCATTTGGACCATTGATCGTTTTGATTAAGGGCATTTTTTATATTTTTTTCATAATTTTTTATTCGTTTCTCCAATTTTACATATTTTTATTATTGTTATTTCTTTATTTGTGATTTTTATTTTATTTATGTGTGAATTTTGATAGGGAAAATAAAATAAATGATGGAAAATATTTAGAAAATTTTTGTGTAAAAAATAAAATTTTTTAGTTGAAACTTATTTAAAATAAATATAGAAAAATAAACTTAGAAAAAGTTAAAACTATCAATTTCTCCTAAATACTTTTAAAACAAAAAATAAAGCAAATTAAAATGAAATGATAAAAACAAAATTTCAAGTTATAAACAAGAATAATAAATAAAATTAAAAAATTGATAAAATTAAAATAAAATCACAAGTGGTGATTTTATTAAAAATATTCATAAAAGAAAATTTTTTAAAATATTTTAAAAGTGTTAAAAATATTTTAAAATTTCTCAAAATATTTTAATTGTACCGAAAGTGTTGGCATAAAAAAATATGATCTATTTTGTTTTTTAAATATTAAAATAAATTTGACAATAGATTTCTTTTAAATAAATAAACGATTTCTTTAAATTTTCTTGAAGTAATGAAATTTTTAAAGTTATACTAAAAGTGTATGAGATAACTTAGAAATTTTCTAATATTCAAATAGTAAATAAAAATATTAAAACATTAAATAAAAGATTATATGAACAAGAAAAAAAAATAAGATCGTGTTAAATTAATTGGTAACATTTTGAAACGGATGCTGTAAGGGTATTATAATTTTTTTTATACATAATTATACTTCTGAACTCAATTTTGATTTCATATACCCAAAGATAGAATTGGTGACTAATCATATTTAAAAAAAAAAATTAATGACAATTCTTTATTTTTATGTTTAATGATCGAGTTTTCAAATTGATATGTTATAATATATTGTAATTGTATATGAAGGTTTGTTGAATGTGGGGTTAAAACTTAACTACTCTGCTTCAACTTTAATTTAAATTATCATGTTATTTTGTCATTTAGCTCTTATGCTTCTCAAATGACTTAGGAGTTTAACTTTAGATTGTAATGTTTCTTTTAATTTGTCGCAAACTTAATGCAAGTATTATTATGGTTTTCTTGTTTCTATTGTCCATTATATATTTAATCTTCTTAAATCTTCATTTTTACGTAATTTTACCATTAAAAAAAAATACACTTAGTATAAATTTAGATGCAAGTGGATAAACGAAGAAGTGCAAATCCATATGGAATATTAAATTCAGCCGGACGTCTTAGTTTGCTTTGTAGAATCACCACATCAATGGACTCATTGGCTATGCGCCAAACCAAAAGATATCCCAAACACAAAACAAAAATGGACGATTACTTCAATGCCTGAATTGAATTTTCTTATTCTTTTCGATGTGCATTTATGTTTAAACCTTGAACAAGAACTGCCCGCTGGAACGATCGAAACAATGTAAATTGCAATGGCCATTTGTGCTATTCACCGACAAGAGGAATGTTTTTCAGCATCATGAATATCGGTCTATTTATGAAATAGAAAAACACCAAATTCAAAATTACAAAAAGAAATAGGGAGAGCTAAAGGAAAAAAAAAAGTGTTTTCCTATCATAATTTTTTCAAATTACAAAATTTCAGCAACAAATCGTAAATTTTGATCTAACATTGTATAAAATTTTATTTCAATAGTTCAAAATTCAAAATCTTACCCAAAGAACTCTTGTTGATTTGTAATTTTTAAAATTTTATAAAGTGGTAACACTCGCACTTATTTAATAGATAATATTTTTTATAAAATTACAAATAATAATTAAAATAATAATTAAATATAAGATAAGATCAATTTATATTAGTGTAAAAATTTTTAATTTTAATTTTTTTAATAATTAATTTCAATGGTAACAGAGTTAAGTCAAAATAAAAAATAATTTCATTTCATTTCTTAAATCTATTAAAATTAATAATTAAAAAATACAAAAAAATTAAATTTTTTTTATATATCTAGATACCTTTCCATTAAAAAATTATATTTACGTAAAAAATCAAATAAATAAATCATGAAAATGTTAACGCGTAATTTCCTTTATTCGGAGTCAATATTGACAAACGCTCTGTTTTTTGCCAAAATTAGACTAAAGACTTTTGAGCATTTAAGTTTTCCAGCCATTTTGGAAATCAGCTATCAAAAATCGATTTAAAAAATATAGAAAAAAGGGTGAAGCCAATTAAAATTATACAAAAGGGGCATGCCCATGCCGATGGTATTGGTGGCACAGCCGGCGATCAGCCAATCAGTCTCTCGTTTACGGTTTACGTTGAAGATTTCAAAGCTAAAAGTTTTATTTTTTTTCTCATAACTCATATATATATTATTTGATTAAAATATCAAAAAATGAATTATTTATTTTTTAAATAAAATATTATATTTTTTTATTATATTCCAATAAAATTTTAATATATATCTAAATAAAATTTTATTTCAAATAAAAATATTAAAAATTTATTTAACTATAATTTAAATTTTAAAAATTTATTTAGATATAAATTAAAATTTAAAAATTTATCTAACTTAAAATTTAATTTAAATACAATAAAAATTAAAATGATAAATTTCAAAAGCTTCTTTTCATTATTTTAACCTTCTATTTGTTAAACTTTCCATGTTATCTTTGCTCCTAATTTCGTTGGATATTTACATTAATTTTCTTTTTGGGTCAATCATAATGACATTGGTTGGTGTCATTTCTTTTTTTACTATTTAAATCCACCAAACAAAGCCATTTTTTCATCCCCTCTCTCTCTCTCTGTTCCTCCTCTTAGTTTCTCTTTGTCTCTGTTCTTACCAAAGTAGGCAGCAGCAGCAGCCGGCATGTCTCTCCTCAATGATCTCATCAACCTCAACCTCAGTGAGACCACTGAAAAGATCATAGCTGAATATATATGGTCGGCTATCTCTCGCTTCCTCCCCTTCCCTTTCCCTTCCCTCCTATATATTAAATCTCGTACTAATGGCTAATATCTCTAAACGCTTCCTTTTTTCTATTTCAGGATTGGTGGATCTGGTATGGATTTGAGGAGCAAAGCAAGGGTGTGTTTTACTGTTCAGACTTTTTTTTGTTGAAAATTATGATCTGGGTTTTTCAAAAAAATCTTGCTTTTACCATAATAATAACAATATTGGCTTCTACAGACTCTGCCTGGACCAGTGACGGACCCTGCAAAACTCCCCAAATGGAATTACGATGGCTCCAGCACGGACCAAGCACCCGGAGATGACAGTGAAGTCATTCTATAGTATGTTTTTTTTGTTTGTTTGTTTGTTCTTGGCTTTTTCATCTAGATCATGGTTTCAGTATATTCGAGAATCGAGATTGGTTTTTGATTAAGATTCCGTGTTTATATTTTAATACTCTTCCATGTTCTGGTTATAATTAATAATTATCTGTAATTTGACCGGTCAGCCCTCAAGCGATATTCAAGGATCCCTTTCGAAGAGGCAACAACATCCTGGTAATTAATTCTTTCACGTTACTTCTTTCTCTTTGCTCCCGTGATTTTTGGTGGTGTTTTTTTTTTTTTTTAAATTTATCCTTATTTTTTAATCTCTATTTACTTAATTTATCGTGAGAATATCATGTGATTAAATCTTTTTGGATCCATCGGCAACTTTTAAAATTTTAACTAACATGTATGCTATTTAAAATATTATGCGATTAAGTACTTTCAATTTTGTAAATTTTAAGAATTCGATTAACATATATATATATCATTTGAATTAATATTTGATGGGTGTTATGCTTTTATAAATAAATTAATAGAAAAATGAAATAATTGTGACAATACTAGATTATGAAGAGATTTTTTTTTTTTTGGCTATAGTATAACGAAAAGAAAGTCAAGAGGGTTAATTGTGTCTTTGCAAATGGATAACAGGTAATGTGCGATGCTTACACACCAGGCGGCGACCCCATTCCCACCAACAAGAGATACAATGCTGCCAAGATCTTCAGCCACCCTCACGTGGTTTCTGAGGAGCCATGGTAAATGCTTTTTTTTTTTTTACTTTGGGAACTTCGTTAATTAATTATTTTTAAGGAGCGCTCTTTAAAAACGGAAAAAAAAATGGCAATCCTAACTTCTAGATCCAAGCTGGAATCCATTTTGTCATATAAAAGGAAAATGAAAATTTGGGACCACGAAAATAGTACTATCAACTGTCGGAGTGTCAGTCACGATGGGTGGGTGGTCTCATGGTTGGGAACTATTGGGCATGTTGACAAACGAGGGTTGCTTCTTTTACAAACTTCCCACAAATGAAAGTCACAATTAAAAATTTGATTATTAGGTTTCCCTAATGGCTTAACTCTTGACTCTTGACCAGCTGTAAGTCGTTAGTCACCTCACCTAGCCATTTTATAAGCAAATAATAATGTCTAAAAAATTTTCACAAATCAAGTGACCCAATTCGTTTGATTAATTTAAAATCGTTATCATTCACTTTCTTCTACTCATTAATATATTTTTTATATATTTTCAAATTTAATTGTCAATAATGATAATATGAAAGATTAATATAAAATCCTAATGTTACAATCAATAAAAATAAAAACAAATTAAAATCCAATATTTTATAACTAAAACAACAAAACCCCAAGAAAACTCAACCAAAAAAAAAAAAAATCCAATCTTTTGAGACAACTTTAAATTACAATATTGATATTTGTATTCCCGTTGGGTTCAACGTCTCTGGCTTTCTGTTCAAAATCCAAAAACGAATTACATGGATCCCTTTTAGATAAACTTTTCTAGACTTTGTCAAAAAAGAGTGATGTTCTAGGTTTTTTTTTTTTTTTAAATAAATGCATATATTAACCGATTCTTGTATTTTATTTAATTTTCTTTCTTTGTTGTTTGATCTCCTTTGTCCGAAAGCCTGTCATAATCTTTGTTTTTTCTTACGTGAAAGTTTCTATCATTTTCAATCCCTTTTTTCTAGAAAACACTGATTCTTTGTTAATTGTCCACACCATTTTATCTTATAATAAGGCAAAAAACGAATGTTTAAATTAATTTGTAAGTGATAATGTGAAAATCAGAATAAATCACTTGGGGAGGAAAATACGATGGATGGTTTTGATTTAAAGGTGTTTCTGTCTTCATTGTGATATTTATATTCTTTCTATATAGACGAAATCTACTCTTTCTTCTTCTTTGTTTTAGAACGGAATAAATCTTTTGCTCTAGGATTTAAACACTCTATGTCAGTATGATGATTGGGTTTTCACCTATTCGATTATTGGTATCTCCATCTTTCACCCAACGTTGGATTGGGACTGGCATTTCTAATAATGAAGCCTCAAAGTCAGCTAACACGTCTCCCTCTACTGTTTGGGTTGTTCAACGAAAATAAAGTAAAGCTAAAGAATGATGTACTAAATGTTGGGCTATATGATGATAAATTTAATAATCAAAGTCTTCTTTTTTTTCCCTAATCTCGCTTGTGATGATCATATACCTAAACATAAAGCAACAAGGATTTTTTTAGCAGTTTGACTTTGATAAAAAAAAAAATAATAATAATAAAACAAGCTTAACCTTAAAGAAAAAAAAATATTAAGCTTGACCTGTTTTCTTTCCTTTTCTTTCAACTAGAATTGAGAAAAAAAAATAAAAAATTGATTTGAAATCATAGTGTTCGGATTAATTTTTTTTATTTAGTTTGATATTAGTTTGTATATTTTATGTTTTAATTCAGTTCAGATTTTGAATAAAAAAATAAAAAATAAAAATTATTTGAATTAAATTATATATTTTATTAGTATATATATTTAAATTTTAATAAAATAAAAATTATTATATTTAAATCAATTTAAATATACTAAAAATAATATTACAACAACAATTTTTAAAAAATTAATTTTTAAAAATTTGATAAATAGAACCAAACTGATAAAATTTAGTTTAAATCGATTTCAAAGAAAATCTGATTTAAATTCTGGTTTTTAAAAATTCATATTATTATATATTAATTGAAATAATTGAAATAACAGTTATGCCTTTTTACTAATCTTCATATTTTTATTGGTTGATTGAAACTTGTACGTATTGAAATCAGGTATGGAATTGAGCAAGAGTACACTCTTCTTCAAAAGGATTCCAGGTGGCCCCTTGGATGGCCGCTTGGAGGGTTTCCCGGACCACAGGTACGGTTATCAGACTGCACTTTTTGATTAGTATGGCGTTTAATAACCAAATTGTAGATAGTGCTGTACTCTAAGCTTTTGGTTTAGATTCAAGGGAACTGATCATCTAAACCAAGTTTTATTATCCATGCAGGGTCCCTACTACTGTGGAGTAGGGGCTGATAAGTCCTTTGGCAGGGACATTGTGGACGCCCATTACAAGGCTTGCCTTTATGCCGGCGTAAACATCAGTGGAATCAACGGTGAAGTTATGCCTGGTCAAGTGCGTTTTGTTCTTTGTTAGAAGGATGCCTTTATTTGATTCAGCTTTATTGTCCATGAAAATTTTGCGGTTTATCTGGTCTTGTGCATGTGTAAACAGTGGGAGTTCCAAGTTGGTCCTGCCGTTGGAATATCTGCAGGAGATGAATTATGGATTGCTCGATACATACTCGAGGTATGAACCAAACACTGGTGTATTTAATTAATGCATTTGCCTTTTAAGAATGTACTATAACAGCTTTTATTTTCTTGTTTAAACAGCGAATCACTGAAATCGCAGGAGTTGTTCTCTCTTTCGATCCCAAACCCATTCCGGTTTGTTTTAATTTCCCTAAATTCAACTTTACTTTTCCATTTATGTTCTTTTAGCTATTTTTCTTGGTCTATTTCTTTAGCTTTGCATTTGTTTTTCATAATCAGGGTGACTGGAATGGTGCTGGTGCCCACACTAACTACAGGTAGATACAAAGATCGATGTGCTCTACACTTTTATTACGCATGTATTCTTTTCCATGCATTAAGAGTAAATTGGTTGAAATGAAATTTTCTCTCAGCACAAAGTCCATGAGGGCTGATGGCGGCATCCATGTTATCAAGAAAGCGATTGAGAAGTTGGGTTTGCGCCACAAGGACCACATTGCTGCCTATGGAGAGGGCAATGAGAGACGCTTAACCGGTCGCCATGAGACTGCAAATATCAATACATTCGTATGGGTAAGTCAGCACCCCTTTTTAGTAACAAGCTAGAATGGTTTTCATAATTGCCCTACAGAAATTGCCATACACATGTATCTCCATTTTCTTATTACTAAGACTATTTTGCTTGCAATGTCCAAACTCCAGGGTGTTGCTAACAGGGGAGCCTCCATCCGTGTTGGCCGTGACACTGAGAAGGCTGCAAAAGGTTAGCACTCTTTTATGTTCTCCTGATTTCTCATTTCTTGAATTCCTTGCATTTAACATTCCTGGTCATGTAATTCACAGGATACTTCGAAGACAGAAGGCCGGCATCCAACATGGATCCTTACGTTGTGACATCAATGATTGCTGAAACCACCATTCTGTGGAAGCCTTAGAGGTGGAAAGTGGAGCTATGAAGGATTGGAAGGAAAAACCTACATCAGATTAAATATATTTAATAACCTACTCATCTTCTTTGGTGGGCGAGTGGGTGAACTTGTGTTTTGTTTCTTTGAATTGCTGGGTTGCCATTTAAACTGTGTTGTTTTTTTCCTTTTAGTTATAATCGTTATTTGCTTATGCTGATTGTTCAGTCAGTTAAATGAGTTTTCCGTCAGTTAAATAAAAAGGTAGTTGATTCAAATTATGGCTCGGGTGATTCTGGTATCAATTATGGCAGCTGAGATGTTAGTTGGCCCGTTTAGGCTTTGGCATGAAGTTCAGTCACCAGACACCAGGGCCTTTGAGGATACAATTTGCTGATGAAATTGAAAGATTATAATAAGTAAAGACACGTATCGGAAGCAAGACAGCTTGACACCCAGATATCCAAGTATCCGTACAACAATCTAATAGGGTGCCAACATGAAAGTAGTTGGTTGTCTGCCAGCCAGCCAGCCAGCCATTACGCTAGAAAGTCCTGCGTGCTACATTTCGGAAGATGACACTGTCTCCGCCATTTTAAACATAGCAACTTCTCGCACGATAAAATTTTGACTGTATTAACGTAAAATTAAAAATAAAAAATATTTTTCAATTATGATTCCAATCTCACCACTGATCTGATTTTACAATTATAATATCTAATATCACAGTCATTATTATTTTTTATTTTATCTTAATTAAACCCATTTAAATAAACTTTTAATATAAAAAAATTGCAACTTCTCTTTATCTCTCGTCTATTAAAAAAAGTGGAAGAAGATACTAATAGGTCATGTCTTAATTTAATTAATTGTTAAGGTGTTTAAATTTCAATTTTAATTTAATTAATTAATCGAATAAATTTAGTTTGATTAATCAATCTATCATCGAATTAATTTCAATCAATTATTAAAAATGATTTAAGTGAAATTTTGATTTTCGATTAATTCGATTTTTGAACAAATTAATCAAAATTTTAATTGAAATATAATAAAACTCAAATATAAAACTAAAAATATATGAAATAAATTGTTTTATTTTAGAATTTTTAGCTTTTCTGATTTAATAATTTGATATTTGAATATTTTATTAGATAATTTTATTTAATTTATTTTAAATATAAAAATTAAAAATCTAATTTAATTTAAATATGTTTATTATTTAAATAATTAAAAAATTAATTAAATCAATCAAATTTAATTTTTAAAATTAATATATTTAATTTAATTAACAAATAACATAATTTAATTTAATTTAATTTTAAATAATTAAATTCAAAATTAATTAAACCGAACAACTGTAACAACCCTAATAATTGCAAAGAAAATGGGAGCTTTTCATTTGAATGTAAAACGATGTAAAAACGTAACATGATGTCCTTGGTTACAAATCTATAGATCTCTTAATATTCTTACATCCCACTAAGAATTATATGATCAAATATATAATAGTTTTTTCTCATCTATTACATGCTTTTTGAATTATGTCTTTTTATTTAGTTTTCTTATACTAGAATAAGAATCTATTAAACTAAGAGAAGCTTAAATTATTTTTGATTAGGACAAAATGAAATATTTGAAATTTAATCAACTAAAAGAATATTTAAATCCTCATACCCTAAGGTTTTTTTTTTTTTTTACATAGATTGTATTTAGTATAGTTATTTAGAATTATTTATTTTGTTTGGTTTCAAGAATGAAAAAATCATTTATACGAAAAAATATCACATTCATTAAAAATAAAATTTTTAAATTTCACGATCAAAAGTAATAGATTGACATGTACTTTTTAAAATATAATAAAAAAAAATGTAACAGCTTTTTAATTTTGCTTATAAAGATAAAATAAATACTACTGCATAAAAACGAAATCCCATTTATGGAATATGAAAAAAAAAAATGTAAAAGAAAATCTAAGTAACGGGTCGTACGGCCCTTGGATCAGGCCTGATCCTTTGCAAATATCGGGCCTTAAGGTAAACCGAAAGAGGAGGATCACGGGCAGGGACAAGTAGGTTTAAGTCGCCGGCCCAGAAACCCTAGCCCCCCCAAATTATCAAATCCTGCCTAAAACCTAAACTTTTTTATCCCCAAACGCAAACCAAAACCTCGGTAGAGCACCTAAAAACACACCAACATTTATCATACAAGCTGCAGTTCTTCCTCTTTTTGCTCTCACTTCACCATACCTTATCTCTCTCTCTCTCTTTTACTAAACATCGCTCTTCTCGCGCTTCCTTTCGCGTCCTCAGTTCTCTTTTTTTTTTTTTTTTTCTTATCCCTGTTTGTGAGAAAGCCTGTTTGTTGCTCTCTACCATGTCCATTGAATAACAAGCAACGGTTTAAATTTGGTACTTACATTAATAACAAAGAGGTATATTACTTCTTTTATTTTCATGTTTCAAGTAATTTTCTTTTTTAATTTAATTTTAGTTTTCCGTTTGATGGTATTAGACTATTAGTATGTGTGGTCATCTTCCTCTGTTAGGTTGCAGGGAAAGTATAGAATGTGAAAGAGGAATTGAAATTTTTAACCTTATTTTAACGTTTGGAAAGCTTTCTTGTTTATTTTACGAGGATTGGATTGGGAAACTGGATTTTCCCTAGGAAAAAATTTCTTCTACGGTTTCAGTTTTCCTGGGAAACGCCCCGTTTTCCCACAAAATTTTGGTTAGTACATGGATACATGTTTTTAGAAAGCGTTTTCTATTTTCTTTCTCAATTTCTTACGGAAATAAAGTAGCTTGCATTCGGAAAACTAGCAATATTTCGCAATTATTGAAATCTAGTTAGTCGAAATGGTGATAGAATGTGTTGCTTTGATGGTGTTTCTTCTGAGATGATCACACTTTCCATATTTATTTTTTTTAGTTAATATATTACATGAAATCCATATAAACTGATGGAAGTGTACATTCCAATCCAGGTTTTAAGAATAATTGTTGGTTACAATGCTTGCAAGGAGAATAAGGGTTAGAAGCCAGAGATGGGGTTTGGTGTTTCAACAGTGGAAACATTTAATTAGGCAAAATTTCCAGGGTCATGCTTGTTATCAATCTTTGAACCGACCGTATGCTGTGGGGACTGGTTGTTTGGATGGTAATTTGATTAGAAAAAATCTTTTGGATTCATCTTACACTAGAGGTATTGCTTCTGCATTTACATACACGGGTTTGTATGCAAGGTCTGCTCCATGTTTAAGTAATCATCAGTTACGTTTGTATAGTTCTAAAGGTGATGGAAGAAATGCTAGTGAGGATAATTATAGACCTGTGAATGATGGAACTAACGTTGATAAAGGAAAGACCCGGCAGGAAAAGGTTGGGGAGGATGTGAAGCCTTGTGATGCACATGCTCAGCTCGGGGAACAGGATCAAAAGGAATGGCTCAATAATGAAAAACTTTCTATAGAGAGTAAGAAGAAGGAATCACCATTTTTGACCAGACGTGAGAAGTTTAAAAATGAGTTTTTGCGCAGAGTTGTTCCATGGGAGAAAATACATGTTTCTTGGGAAACATTTCCTTATCACATTCAGTAAATACTATTTGCAGTTTTTTTTTTACTTTTCTTTTGCATCTTTAGATTATCTTGCTATGTAGTTATTAATTTACTTTTTTTTTTTTTTTTGGTTTTCTCTGTAGTGAGAATACCAAAAATATTTTGGTTGAATGTGTTGCTTCCCATTTGAAACATAAGAAGTTAACTGCTTCTTATGGTGCTCGATTGACATCTTCAAGTGGGAGAATACTGCTTCAGAGTGTCCCAGGTATGCACCTGATATAAATTATTTTCTTCAATGAATTCTTCCTTGTATTCTTGTAACTGTGCTTTTTCTCTTTGATTTTACATAAACAAATATAATTTTGGAGTCTTGCCATCTGTAGGCACAGAACTTTATCGAGAGAGACTAGTTAGGGCGCTAGCACGAGAGTTAAAAGTGCCGCTTTTAGTGCTTGATGGCAGTGTTCTTGCTCCATATGTAAGATTTGAATGACTTGGAAATTTAAACTTTTGTCCCATTTAATATGCTCCAAAAATAGGTCTTTTATCTGTTCATTTTTCTTATAGGATTTTGGTGATGATTGCTCATCTGAGACTGAATCAGATGATGAGAATCTGGAATCTGCAGCAGATTGTACTTCAGAGTCAGAGATTGAGGATGAAAATGATGTGAGTAATGAGGAAGACTGGACAAGCAGCAATGAGACAAGAACAGACTCCAGTGATGTGGATGAAGTGCAGGCAACTGCTGAAGCAGCCCTCAAGAAACTTGTCCCCTACAGCCTTGAAGAGTTTGAGAAGGTATATTTTCATGGAGGTGGTGTTCTTTGGGCTGAGAATGTAACTTAACATAATTTGGCATTACCCTCTTAAGGGTACTTTCTTTTAAAAAATCCTTGGTAGGAAAGGGCATTATTGTCTTAACAAAATTGTTATCAGAGTGACTAATGGGTTTAAAAGTTAAAAGTTGGGTGGATTCGTGCACTTTATAAAGTATGAGGGCCTTTTTTGTGGTTTCATGATACCTTTAGGAGGGTAATCAAAATTTCTCATTATTATATTTAGTTTTCTGTATCCAGTGATCTCATCTCTCTTGACATGTTAAATGGTAACTGTTCTTATCAGCTTCTGGTCTAATCCTGCATGTTATGTTCACCTTTTTAACTTGCAAACTCTTGGGGACTGGGAAAACCATAAATCTAGGCCTTGGGGGTGCTTGTAGTCTTTCTTCCCAATGCTTATGAGGGATTAGTGTGCACCTGGATTTCTCAATGTTTCACAGAGTGGATCTAGGTTATCTCTATAAATATTGGATGAAATGGAGGCAGATCTTTTGTGGAATAATTTTTGTGTTTTTGGTGCCACATTCCATGTGATTGGATCTACCTTTTAATCTTTGAGGCTGCAGAACTGCAAAACACACATATTAAGTATTTTTTGAAATTTACTGTGACTGAAAGTTGAGAGTACATTACTTGGTGAAAATAGCGAGCTATGTTCCTATGACAGGAAAAATCTGAGAAAGTGAGGGGAAGTAAGAAGAAAGGTTTGACTTTGTTTTTCAATGGGTTGAAAGGACTCTTGCTCTATTTTCAACTTTGAACAAGTTGTATGCACCATAGAATTATCTTATCAACAATAGATCATGTACTATTAACTCCTTGATAGGTTTAGCTTAAATCTCCGTTCTCTTTTATGTTGTTATTATGTCTTTACGTGGAA